GATCTAATTCCCTGAGATTGGTAACCAGTTGCCCTGCCAATCTCAGACAATATATGCTCTACGGGTATATATATCTTATGAGATCGGATTCTAGATATGATACTATGATGCACGGCGAATTTGGTAATAGTAAAATGCTAGATTTATTCATTCTCTATATAACGCTATCTTAGAATGAAAATAGGCCCTGGAATGCGCTCTCCTAGCCCTACTACTAGTCTCTTCGCCCATAGCCTGGGCCTATAAAAGTGAACTATTGATGTTGGCGTAGGTCTTGGCTTCTTTAACTATAGAGCGAGAGTTGAATACTGGTCCCTAGCACCACGTAGAGGTGCCTATATTTCGCTAGAGTTCCTTAGTTTCGTAGCTTCCCCCTGCGGAGTCCCTTAGTTTCGTAGCCGTCCCCTGCGGAGCACCTGGTTTCGTAGAGCATCGTACTGTGGAGTCCCTTGGTTTTGTAGCTGTCCCCTGTAGAGCACCTTTTTATACTCGCGGGGCTCGTGGCAGCGAGGGAGCACTTTTGTTGACGCAGAGTTTAGACTGTGAAGTACCTTTCTATACTCGCGGGGCTTGTGGCAGCGAGGGAGCACTTTTGATCTCGCAGAGTTCGTACTATAGAGCACCCTTTTACACTCGCGGGGCTCGTGGCAGCGAGGGAGCACTTTTATTAACGTAGAGTTCGCACTACGGACCCGTGGCCATAGAGACCCTTAAGCCTGTAGATAAGAGATAGAAACCATGACATACGGGAGTGTAAGGAGGAAAGTCCTGATTTTTTCTAGGCTAGAAATCTGGCGCCTTTTATATTAAGTTAGCTACGTCTCTTTATAGAAACCGCCTGTGTAGATTAATAGGGATAGCTACTAGATTTTAAGGAGTGTTAAAGTGTTTAAATAGGCGTGGGAGGGATATTAAAGTATTTTAATAGGCGTGGGAAAATTCTTTTAGGACTATCTAGCTAAAAAACGCACGTCTAAACGACCCGCGGCCGGCCTTATTACGCCTAGAGGGACTACCCGTTAGTTCTATAAAAGTTGACTATATACTCTTTAATTCTATAGTGAGATATATTAGTCTACTATAACTAGTAAATAAATATTGAATCTATAGCTTTTAATCCTATAGAAATTAAATCGCGTAATGTATCTAGTTAAGCTAGACGGGCTACTACGAAGGGTTGAAAGAGGGCTTAGCGTAATAGTTATAACCTATAGTGGTTATACCCGAGTATGCGATATATAAGTTAAGGAAGGCGCACTAAGTTTAACGGTATAGAAAAGATGCCTGTCGTAGGTAAAATAGCTTTAGTGTAGATAGACCTTATTATGATATTAATAATTAGTTCTTAACTATATAGGAGATTTCTATTCTATACGAGAATAAGGTGGATAGAGGAGAGATTTTGTATACGCCGACGGCACGCCTACTACCCCCTCCTACTTTATACCACCTCTATATTAAGGCTAATTATCTATAGTCTATAGTATCTCACTAACCTCGTAAGCTAGAAGTATCTAATCGCTTTCTCCGCCGAACGATAATTTAGCCCTAATATAATATACGTTGTTCCTATTACCCAATTAGGCGATCCCTAAAGTCTCTATTTAATAATCCGTAAAGTCTCTTATCTAACTAAAGACACTATAGGGACGAGACTCTTACGCGATAGATTATGATATACTCCTAGCTAAGGTAGTCTAATGGTAGAGTTAAGTAAGATACGCACGATAGACCTTAGGGGCTAAGATTCAAAAAGAAGTAGTACCACGCCGTAAAAGTAAAGAATTAAGCACTATAATATGGTCTATTCGTAATCCACCATAGAGTAAATATTAAGAGTCTTAATAGAGAGAGATGTTTAGCCTATATGCTACTTCTACTAGACTAGACAATTAAATATAGGCGTGTCCTTGAGTCCCCTATACTATAGACACTATCTAGAATTATGCTAGATTCTAGCTAAATAAGCTCGTGGAATGGAAATTAGTGGTGACTAGGAGGGGCTACTACGACTAGTTATGGATGTCTTAGTAAGAATAGAACTAACCTCTATGATAATTTCTATTGTGATTAGACTATTCTACTAGATTTAACATCTCTACTCTATCTCTCACGTATCTTAGCACTATGCTCTGTCACTAATAATATATAGCCTTTGATAAATCGACGATATTATGGCTAAGGAAATAAGATACTAAATCGATCTCTGGTGTAGAACGGGCCCGTTCCTTAACTAGCTAGTTCTAACTGATGTAACCTATGTACTAAATAAGGTTTCAGGGTGCTAGTCAATCTAATCGTCCCGTTTCTATTTCTCCTTGTAGATCCTAATCTTACTTAGGTTGATTATCTTATCATAGATATCGCTTAAGCTTCTGATTAGGAGGGTAATAGCTATTTGACTAAAGTAAGAATATCTCTAGATTATTTACCTTTATAATCGATACTTATGGTAGGGCAAAACCGAGGGTCTATAAGTACCTATGTAAGACTTTAGTGGATAGGGCTGGCTCGGCTAATTAAATTAATTCTGATCTAATAAACTACCGACCTTAGTCCCTTCTCTTAAACTTTATGGTCCTAGAACCGTAAATACTTTTAGACTTGTGTCTTGAGTAATCTTGATTCGTTCGACCGCTGCTAAGGGATCTAGGGACCTTGCCTAAAGCGGAGAAGCCATGAATGTTATATATCATTATGATTCAAAGCCAGGCTCGCCTTTCCTAGCTAATTGGATGTTAGTATATGATTCCAGAATATGGCGATCACTTTCTATGTGGCGTAAGATCCACCGTAGATATAGCCCCCTGAACCAGGAGCTATAGTAACTCTCTTTTAGTAGAAGTTCTAATAGAGAGATAAAATAAAAGTTATGGTTCTATGTTGGACTTAGTTTACCTCTCCCCTAGAAGAGCTATAATGGGGCCATTCTTGCTGAAGATACCCCGTTTCCCTTATAGTGCTCTTTAAAACAGTTAGGCTTAAGTTGGGCTGGCGATGATATAACTATTTATTACTAGTTTTGCCGCGACTTTCCTTACACTTCCTCGACATCGATCTATATCTTATATTAGTTATAGTCACTAAGTAGCCGAAGACCTTATAAGAATAATAAGAGCTTCGCGAACTGACCTTTTCCGTCTAGTCGACTAATAGTCTTACTTCTATACCTATTTAATTACCTAACTATATATATTAGAGATAATAGACTTATGGATAATATAGGGTTATAATATAAATAGCGAAAAAGTACTCACTAAGGGCTTATAGATCGAGTTTATTTATTCTACCTAGAATAAGACGACCCTATTAACTTTCGTCTTTTAGTAGAAGCGAATCGAACCTTCTATTTATGTCTACCTTCTAGCTTCTTAACTAGAGACTATATATGATCATACTCTACTCTAGTGAGCCCTAGCTTCTAGCGAGGATATAAAGGCGTTAAGGAGCTTACTAGTTCTAAGGGGCAGATTTCGCTCTCTAAACCATCAAGCGACTTTTTATAGCGTTTAATATTTCATTAAAACAATCGTCAGAAATATTCTTATCGTACTACACCATTATAAATATAGGAATTTTGGTGGAGTTAAATATAATAGCTATTAAAGATCAGGTTATCTAAAAAAGAAAGAAGAGAAATTGCTGTCCACTTCTTTAAACTTATCAGCATATGAAATCTCGGCAACCCTAGAAGAATTTAGATCTACTACACGCTTAACCATGGTATCCCTCGTCGCCTGGCCTGAGTACTGTTTACTATCAATTTAAGTAGGTTAGGGAAGCTGCGCTGAAGTCAATTTATAAGGGTACCAATGATCCCATAGTTAATTTGAAATACTCTACCATAAGTGTCGGCCTCCCAGGAAGTATCCTTTATAATTCTTAGAAAGCGAAATTTCTAAAGGACACAGAAAATATCCATCCTATAAATCTACCGTATCTCTCGGACTGTGCTTAAACCATGCCAGTAATTTCTTCTTATGACCCTCGTTGCTATGAGAAAGAGGCAGGTGGGCTTTTGAAAAGGGAAAGTTACAGTAGGAAAAATGACCTTCAAAGTTGTTCTCCTAGTTACTAGTAGTCAGGGATTTGGGGCATTTGACGATCTGCTACTATTGCTAGCAGTTTTCGCTTGTTGAAAATTTGCCGTAATGGTGTAGCAAAAGTATGGATAGGCAAGGCCAGGACTAATTAAGCTTCGAGATTGTTATAGTGAAGGTGAAAGTAGAATCGAAGTTATGAAGTACCAAGAATATGATTCTTTGTTTTTACGTCGATGAACTACGGGTTGATATCACGCAGGAGCGGTGGCGACACAGGATTGCAGGTCTATGGAATGTAAGATGGTAAAGTTAAGGCTGATCACCTTTAGTCTTTAGCCTATCGCGATCACGATTGGTCAGAGAAATTCCACTATTCAAAAACGTTCACTTTGATTTATATTCCTGAGATTGCTAGGGTGAAAACTTCAAAGCTTCCATAGATATGATACCGGCCCGCGGAGTTATGAACACTAATAGGGTATCGCATTTTAGATAATCTTAGAGATGCTGAGATACATCTTTAAAATTTTAAAGCGACATGGATACCACTTATAGTTTACTTAGTTAAATTTATGTTAACCCCGTTATAAGAGAACCTCCTTAGTTTTTCTATTTATGAGACTAGGCCGCTGGATTAAGAGATAAACTAAATCGACTCTAGAAAATGACTCTGAGTGACTATTAAAATGTGCTGACCTAAAGCGACTTAGGAACTTAAAGTCCCTTCGTTGATAAGATCAGTACGGGGTTATCGCACTATATGAATATAAAAGTACTATAAATTTGGGAAATCCACGCTAACTTATGCCTTTATCCTAGGTTGGAAATTCATCGGCGATAAAGACATCTTTGAATGAAGCCTGCTATATATAAATCTATGGAGTTAAGCGTCTATGTCCTATAGGCGAAGCCTATATATTTACGTAACCTCCTAAATAAGGAATATATATCGTCTAGGGTAAGTAATCCCTTACCTACTCGCTACATTAATGAGACTCCCTATACGAGAATACTTAGAGAAGAGGAGGAAATGGATTTTATCTTTAACGTCACTATCAGTGCGGTAAATTAGGCTCTGCTCGCTAGCTATCTAGTCGTTTTAGGTACGTTTACCTCTCTCTAAAGCTCCGACTAGGTAGAACATGCTTTATAAGCTAATAAAGCCAGTCAAATGGTATTACACACGATCTAAAATCCTCCGTTACTCTCTATTACCTATTATCTTCTTCTAGGGGGCCTTATAGCTTTTACATAGCTTTTGCATTTCGCGAAGCTCAGAAGTAATTACATATAGTTAATTAATAGGCTTTTCACGTAAGTAACTACACCACTTAAACAATAACCAAGGTAGTTAAAATTAATATATTAATAGGCCGATTTCGCTAAATACTACTACTAGGCTATTAACTATAATTATTAATGTCTACGCATCTTAGCGGGGAAGTTAGTCTATAATGGCTATCGTCACTACTATCGCTACTAGGGTAACTCTTACTATTTCTCTAGCACTACTATATTTCTATAAGTTTCATCTTCTAGAGATGATTAAACGAGATAACACGGTCTTCACTTTTGTTTTGCCTCCATCGAGGTCAGAATAGTAAGTCGAGGGGCTGGTATCGATCTGAGTATGGTGTATGAAAAAGATTGAAAGTAATTAGTTATGTCGTTATTCTCTAAACCTTTTCTTTCGTATTATCCTTTGAATATCGGAGAAACTCACCACTATAAAGATCAATAGACTGTTAAAGTGCGAAAGATTTAGTGTTAGATGTAATATGATGTTCTTGCTCCGCTATTTGCTATAAACATATTACGCCAACCATATAACCATGTATAGGGAATGCGGAAGAGGTGCCAATGCACCACCAAAGTGCCAGTCAATACAGTACATCACATCGCTTGTCTGCTTATATACGTACGCAGACATCACCTCAAAGGAGGGGCTGGATCCTCTGAGGAGGACCAGCGATTAGTCTGAATATCATCATACACTGTACTCTTATCAGGCACATCTCACATTTTTCACTCGTATTCTTATCGTATCAGGACGTCTTCAGAGGGTTGTCCTAACAAAACACCTCGTTTCGTACTTCACCTCAAAGTCAAGCTTGATTGTTGAAAGTGTACTGTAAACCAAGCAATGAAAAGCGTTGCTATCTTATTTTGAGCCTTAAAGCCCAAAGAACATAAGTATAGTACTAGTGGAGCTGTGAATAGGATTTCGCAGCCCTTCAAAGGCAAAACAGTAAAAGGTTGGAAAGGATGAAAAAGTTCAAAAACTCTCACGAGAAAGCTGGTTAGCCTAACGGTGACTACTCATGAAAATCGAAAACTGAGTCTTAATTCTTCATTCTTTGTTTTATGCCACAAACAATCTCTAGTAGAATATAGCTTCTATAATAGTTGAAATATGGCGCTCAAAGAAGTTGGTCTTAAGGAACTAAATATTATAGCTAGGAAAATGCGTAGTATTATGTATTCTGACGAGTATTCTAGCACTCGTCAACTAATGAAATAGAATCTTTTATTTTTTGTCCAAAATTCAACTTAAAAAACGAGTCCTGCACCAAAACTTAAACAGAAATACCTATTCTTAATTTACTAAATCCGGCCACATATATACATATGGGATATAACATTATCTAAGAGCTATATATCTATTGGATCTATAATTAAGTCTAAGTTAGCCCCCCTACCTTAAATTTCTGATCACGTCGACGTCTTACTTATCTATCATTAGAATGTTTCTATGCGGCAAGGATATGATCAGTGGAGCTTTCATCGCTTATACCGAAAATAACATTACTACGTCTTAGGAACTTAATATAAATACAGAGATACACTAGAATACTGCCGATGTGCCTTTATCATTGATCATTCCTATATTCAACCTACTAACTCTAAGTGTACCTACTGTCACTACTACATCCCATGCCATTAGATAAGGTACACATATAGCGATAGATACTATACCTAGTGTGATAATGGAGGGATTAGCTAGAAAAGCACTTTCAAATGTCCCATAACTCTGGAGACTCTACTAGATCTTACTTCTTATTAAATATATCTCTCTCTAGGGTTAGTGATAGCTTACGTTCTAGTATAAGCCATTTAGTAGTTTAGAAATACCAATCTGCTTAAATAGTAAGGAGTCTAAGTCATATAGCGGCAAACATAGATAATATAAGAAAACTACAAAGTGATAAGCCTGGTATCAATAATGTTTTGAAGAAATATAGAGTCCTTAGAAAAAAAGTAAGGCTTTCCATCAATCAATAATTAGTTAGGCTTATCCATTCTATTAATAGATAGGAAAATGCGGGAAAATATAGAGTACTATAAGCCAGGTATACCCTTAAGTTAAGGAAAATAGAAATACATCATAAAATAAAGGACTTTATATAATAAAAGGCTAGATTTAATCAGAATCAAATCGCAAAAGCGAGACTCTTAGAATCACGACTTTATAATCTTTTATAATTTAATTTCTAATAGAGACACCACGAAACTAAAGTATCGTAACACGTTTAGATAGAGAAATCAATACTCATAGGATCAAACTTTATATATCAGCTATACTCACTTATAAACCTTAAAAGCGATTATTTACTAGCCTTAATATATTATAAGCCTCTTATATCTCATCATATTCTCACAAGTACCATAGAATAAGGTACTTAGTAATAGATTAGCTATTCTATATAACTAATTATCACGCGATTATTTTAATAGGAACTTTTCCGTCCTATCATAGGATATTTACTAGATTAGCGATATGATTAAGAATATATCACAGTGCACTTACCTAAATACTATACTCTTCCTTAGATAAATACCCTTAAAAAAGATACAAAGCGTCTAATAAATAATACGAGGCATATAATAAGCTTTCTAAATCTAAAGCGATGAAATCACGGTTAGTACTTATCTCCAAGGATACTATAGAGGACTTCTTAGAAGAAGTATAGTTATCTATACCCTCTAACTCCTAATTTAAAAGAACATTTTCAGGACTAGTCATAGTGGCTAATAAAATAGTAAAAGGAAATTACTAAGCTATTAATACTAAGAGACTAAATAGACTTAATAGGTCTTTATAGAAATTTATCTAGCCCGATATCTAGATAGGGTATTTTTTAAGAGAGTTTAATTATAGATACGAAAATTTTAGATAAAGATATCATATTTATTACATTTTTATTAAATAGTATTTTAATTTATTAACAGGCTAAGGTCTCAAGTCATCAAATATAAAGTGAAGAATTCTCTTTAATAACCTTATCATATTCATCTTTACCATATTTAACGCCTTAACCAAGATAAACGATACTTTAGTGTTCATATCATTAAGCGTGTGATACATATCACTTATATATAGGCCTATTAAAACGTCTATTCTATTTATATATACTTTATCCCAGTCTTCATAATCATCTTAATAGCTAAGATATACCACATAGCTACTAAAGAAAAGGATTATGTTTCCAAATTCTATAATAATACAGAAAAAGAAAGGTAATTCTAGTAACAAGAGAAGTTACTAAGAAAGGCTAAATAAAATAAACTAATCAAGTAGATACATTTTACATAACTTCATGGTTAAAATATATATATTACTTCTACCTTACCTAGAAAGACAATACCTCTTAGTATTCCAGTAATCGTAAAAGTCTACCAGCGTTACCAGGATCGTATATCTCAATTCTCATTCTCAACCATGACTTTTTAGTCACGCGACTATAACTTACGTATCATAAGACGATTCTATTTTACGTTTTTATTTCATCGCTAGCCCTATATCCCAGAAACAGCCAAGAGTCATTCATTCCACCCCAGAGCTAGCAGAATCTAGAATAGAGAGCGGCTTTTATAGTAGATTTACTCAAGGCTTTAATGGGAACTAGGACCTAATCGTCAAATAATAGTCATGATCTATAGGGTGGGATAATAGCTTTAATTAGCTTTTAGTATTTTATAGTACCATACGCATGATCGTAATTAATATCGAATCAATACACTTTTAATATAATACCCTTTCTACCGGTAATAAGAGAGCGAGGTAGATAGACCAGGGAAAAAAATGCTAAATAATTTTCTGCCGTGTCAGTCCCGGAACATGGGATTTAGACTACTAGCAGAATATCAAAGGGTAGAATTCTACTGGAACTATAGTTTAGATAATACTACCATTCTGCCATCTACATATATTAGCAGGTATTATTGCCTCAGGCCCCAAGCCGGTCTACGGCAGTGCACGACGCCTTTTATACAGACAAAAATTGGCAGGGACATAGCGAGTATTTTATGATTATATGCATTACATACTTTTAATTACATATAGTGGGGTATTCTAGTGTATTGCGTTCAAATACTTTTAACGATATTTAGAATGAACGCGATAGGAATAGCTTTAGCTAATGTCCTCAGATGAGATCATTCTTGCTCTATCTAGCACTTTTACTTAGAATAGTGGCATTTGAGAATTGTCGCAAGGTAATTTGATCATTGGTATTCGAGGCTACTAAGGAGGAAAAGAGCCACGCCCATGGAAATCACTTTCAAGTATACCTATCCTTAGAGGGCAAAGGGCTAAAGTCTATTTACTAAGGTATAAAGACTATAGTTAAAGTCCGCGGGTAAGATATACCTAAAGGTACCCCTAAAGGAATAGATTATTAATACTTAGAAGCGAACTATTTACTCTTAAAGAAAAATAGTCCTATCATGGAGGCTGAAGCATGAAGAGGGGCAATTATCCCCAATTCAATGCGAACAGCCGTGAATGCGGGAATTCAGCGGGGAACCGCCGGCATGGCGGTGGCTTAGCTGAAAGGGTACACTGCAGGACTTGGCGGCCAGCTAAAGGACTACACTGGATGAAGGCCCCATTATCTGCTCATCTTGCTATTGCGTTCTTGATCCCTCCTTCCTGTTTGATTTCTAAGTATGCCTGTTTATAAAAGCTGATGAGTGAGGAGTGGGTTTAGAATTCCTCAAGAAACAGTCTTGGAACATCTTGACTTGGTGACTTTCTTCCTTACCTGATCAACAGGCCTTTCCCCGCAAGTAGATTTTTTCATAACAAGGAGCTATGCAATTGAGGCTCTTCAGCTTCTTCAAGAGGCAACCCCCATGAATCCATGATAAGACGCGTATCAATATGTGTAAAGAAAGCGCGTTCTAATTTATGTGGAACGTGACGGTGCGTGGGAATTAAGGGATACGAGGCCATTCCTAATCGGTAAGAAAGCGGCGGAAGCTAGCCGACAAATAGAAATCTTAGTTCAAAATTACCACTAACCACAGCGCTGCCAGCCAAGGGGATACCTACATCCATGTACGAATAATTGGCTGCGAAATTGGTTTCAGCATCAAAGTCAACAAATTTCACAACGTATATTATTTCCGAAGAGTGCCCAGTCATAATCCCCACCTGTCTTGTAGCAGCCGTCAGGGCTTTTAGACACTTACAATATTAATTCTGAGAGTAGCCCTGAATAGCTGATGGTTTTTTGGGGGCTTCGGAGATGGACTCCGATCAGGTCCACACTCCGGCCCAAACCCGAAATAAAGGTAGATGCACCCACCCTGGGTTAGATCTGAGATGATGGCCCTGCTGCAGGTGACATCCACGGCGAGTCCGGATTTCGGAAGCAGAGTCCGATTACCTCAATATTCAGGGGTCCCAGGCAGTTTGCATAATTGATGCAGCTTATTAGTCATCAGGAGAAATGTCACTGATATATACACCATTTAGCATGATCTGAGAGTTTTCAAAGTGCTGACACTAACAGCACCACACACCTTTCAGCCACAGCCCTTGCCGGATAAAACTTTGTTGCAATGGCGGAGACAACATCTTACACTCTGGATGGGCCTCCCCCAGACGCGACCGAAACTTGGCACAATCACACTGTACAGAAGCAGGATGGTGCTGAAGAGAGTCCCTCCAGCGAAGATGCAGACCTCAAGTACGAGTACCCTACGGGGCTCCCAGTCACTCTCATTCTGACTTCAGTTACTTTGGCCTATTTTCTCTTCTTCCTTGATCTTGCTGTCATTTCCACGGCCACTCCGGCTATTACTTCCCAATTTAACTCTTTGGTGGACGTTGGCTGGTAAGTACAGTTCGACTGTCTTCTATCGACATCGCAGATTATTCTTGCAAGACACTGATTTATTCTGCTCAGGTATGGTGGTGCCTATCAGCTCGGAAGTGCAGCTTTCCAGCCTCTCAGCGGCAAGATATATAGCCAGTTTCCGATCAAGGTAAGATTTAGTCTGCGGCTTAAACAGCCTGTCAGGTTGTGAACTAGATTCTGACGAAATGACAATGTAGTGGACCTTTCTACTTTTCTTTTTTATCTTCGAAGTTGGATCTGCCATTTGCGGAGCAGCTCAGTCATCGCCCATGTTTATTGTTGGCCGTACAATCGCAGGAATTGGTTCTGCTGGCGTGGCTAATGGAGCTGTGACAACCATTGCTGCAGTGCTTCCAACACAAAAACAGGCGCTTTTCATGGGACTCAACATGGGTATGGGCCAGCTGGGTCTTGCAACAGGACCGATTATCGGTGGAGCTTTTACCACCAACGTGTCTTGGCGATGGTGTACGTTGTTCCATCACCCTCCAATTTCAGCGCTCTTTAGGCTAAAATGCATGGCTTAGGCTTTTACATCAACCTCCCGTTGGGCGCTGTCGTCGGTGGATTCCTTCTCTTCAACAATATCCCCGAACCAAAGGCCAAGAGTCCACCCATGGAGATTCTCGGGACTGCCATCAAGTCTCTAGATCTCCCAGGTTTCATGCTCATCTGCCCCGCGGTTGTCATGTTCCTTTTGGGACTCCAATTCGGCGGTAATCAACACCCCTGGAACAGTTCGGTTGTGATTGGCTTGCTGGTTGGCGCTGCCGTCACTTTCGCTTTTTTCCTGGTCTGGGAGCATAGGCAGGGAGACAATGCCATGGTGCCATTTGCAATGCTTAAACACAAGATCATCTGGTCAGCGGCAATGACGATGTTCTTCAGTCTTTCCAGTGTTCTCGTGGCCGACTTCTACATTGCGATCTATTTCCAGGCCATCCACGATGACTCCCCTTTAATGAGTGGTGTGCATATGCTTCCAATCACACTGGGCTTGGTCCTGTTTACCGTGGTTTCGGGTGTTCTGAGTAAGTGTCTCGACTTTCGATTAGTTGTCTCCCATTAAGTCTTCATGCTAATGATTTGTTGCCCCCACGACAAAGTCTCCGTTCTGGGATACTATCTCCCATTCTTGCTTGCGGGAGGCACAATTTCAGCCGTTGGCTACGGTCTCTTATCAACACTCAGCCCCTCGACCTCTGCTGGAAGATGGATTGGCTATCAGATTCTGTACGGTGTTGCAAGCGGTTGCACGGCAGCTGCTGTAAGTTCTGCCTATCGCAAAGTACGGGTTCATCGGCTAATCTCACCTTCTCTATAGCCCTACATCGCTATACAAAACCTCGTGCCCGCAGAGCAGATTTCCCTCGCCATGGCTATTGTCATTTTCTGGCAAAATATTGGCGCGTCAACTTCTCTGATTGCTGCAAATGCCATCTTTAGCAACAGTCTTCGTCATCAGCTCCAGCAGCGCATCGCTGAAATTGGTATTTCTCCAGATATCATCATCGATGCCGGTGTACGCTCCATTCGCAACCTGGTTTCCGGCTCTCAGCTGACTGCAGTCCTTGCGGCCTACGCCAAGAGCGTCGATAATGTCATGTATCTCGGTATCGCTGTCAGCGTAGCTGTCCTGGTCTTTGCTCCCGGTCTTGGATGGAAGGACATTCGGAAAGTGAAGGACCTCCAGGCCATTACTAAGGACTCACCGGACAAGCCCGAGAAACAATCGACGAGACAGGAGGCAGGGGTGACTGAAACGTAGACGAGTGAACCACACTAGCTGCCGGGAGTTGATTTGGGTGTGTTCACATTATCGCTGGCTCCTGCAGCTATCTCTCTACCAACGCCGTAGTATTTCATTGTCGATTTTATCTGTTTATGTTGTACCTGCAAGGATCGTTTTGCGTTAACATTATTAGGAAATTGCCCTTAATTAAGATAAACTCTAGTTGAACAAGCCATAGAATCTTTAATACCACTGTCGAATGCTCAAAATGGAGAAAATATACGTGCAGAACGCGACTTGCATACAATAGCATGTATTACTGATCTCATAAAAAATCTCGTATCCCATTCTGCTCAACAGTTCTTTTTGCATTTTCGAACGCGGTGGACCTAGCTGCGCGGCCAGGTGGAGCACAGTTTAAATTCCTTGTTCAATGAGGTGCGCAACTCGTTTCTTCTCAGAATTGACAATCTAAAGAAAAATAATAATTTATTAAAAGGATTAAACAAAATAGTAGGGCCAGTGACTGTAATGCACATGGCACATGGACAAAACCAGTAATCGGGTAAATATTGCGAAAATTATGAAACCGACATCCTGTTTTACCATAGCGAGGGCTTGTTCCAACTGTTGTTGGACACTGAACTACAGCGTCACAACAAGCTTCTTTCCCGAGACCCCTTTTCTCTGGAGATCCAAAGCCTCTTGAATCTTGTCCAGTCCCTTGCCGACAACCTGCGGTGGAGGAGCTGGGACAAATTGGCCCTGCTCCAGCGCATGCGGCAGGAAGTCCATGTAGACACGAGCAACGACACTCTTGGGGTCGACCAGGCCGTCGACGAGGATGAATTTAGCCTCAACTCCAGTGACAAGGCGCGTCCCGGTCGACTTGATCATGCCGCCTACCATGCCCATCAAAAATGTGCCCTTTCCGACGAAAGACGTGAGTTTCTTGGCAGGGATAATAGCACCAGCCACGGCGATGCGCTTCCTGGTGAGCTTGGGATCATGTTTCTTCATAATAGCGGTGCATACTTCGACTGCGCCACGGCCAATGGTGTAGGCACCCACAAGCTCGTGGCCCTTAAGCACACCAAGGAGATCCTTGACCAGCGTTTTGCTATTGTAGTCGAAGACATGGGTGGCACCGAGGCCCTTGACGTAGTCAAAGTTTTTGGCCGAGGAGGTGGACAAGACTTGGTAACCGGCAGACACAGCGAGCTGCACGGCATTGCTCCCAACGCTCGACGCACCACCAGTGATGATAACAGTGCGTGGTTTGCCCGCCTTGCCCATAGCCTTTATGGGTGCGGGGATCTGGGGCATGTCGAGGCCCAGATAGCCTGGGTGGAATAGGCCGTACGCTGCAGTCCCAAGACCGAGCCCCAAGACACAGGCTTGTTCATCGGTAATGTGAGAAGGGGTAGGTGACAGCATATGTTGTCGCATCACGGTATAGAGCTGGAAACTTCCCTCGGCCGGGCTGTTGACCTCTTTAGCTAACGCCGTAGCACTGCCGAAGACTCGGTCGCCAACGTGGAAGCGCTCCACATTGGGGCCAACCTCGACTACTTCGCCAGCAACGTCGGTACCAAAGATGAAAGGGTACTTGATATACCCAGCGAGCGCCGGACCAATGAACTGCAACACCCAGTCGAAAGGGTTAATAGCCACGGCGCCATTCTTGACCACGACCTGGCCGGGACCGGGAGGGGTATATGGCGCATCACCAACTTTGAATGGAATGACCTTTTTGGCAGGAATCCATGCCGCCTGGTTTTGAGGAGGCATTGCTGTAAAAGAGCGATGGGAGTCTGCTGTTGGTTTTAACGAGGGGGAGTAATTGCGTATCGTTTGAGATCAAAGTAAAATTTTGCGCTCCTGCACAATGAAGAACAGCTATATGTATCACAACCATTGTAGTTAAAGCTTTGAGAGGCCCAGGAGCTTTCTGGCGCAGCACACGGATTCGGTGGACGGACTTTCACGGTAATGAACGGACCGAACTCCGGTTATGCAATTACGCAATCTCGTACAGTTAGTTGTCGCCCCCATGACATCGCCCTACATGATTGGAACAAAGAATATTTGGAGTCCAACTTAAGTACTTCTGACTTGGATCTTAAATGGCCACCAAGACTACCTATCTAGGCTCACGGCTTATCGCGATGTGCAAACACGACCGATGCTCATGCAAGCACCGCTCGGGCTTCCATTCTAAGCTTGTTCTAAGCTTGTATATTGAACTGTGTATTTACGACGTTCAGTAAGCTCTGCACTTCCGAACCCCATAGTTAGGTATTTTAGATGACTGACGGTTTTCACCTTCCAAGCAACCTCCAGTGCTCTGATCAGGATGGAATGTTTGCCTGGACAGTAGAGTAGTTGAATGGTCATATCAGGGAGTGAACATTATGAGTTTGAAAAGTACACACCTATATCTTACAATCCTTGGGTGACTGTCAATATGGCAAGACATTTCCCTTTTTAAACCGCTGAGCCTGCCCAGCTTACTGCACTCGGGTAAATAATATCGCAGTTCTCGTTGTCCAAGTGACAGAGTGACGAATGCAGAAGTGACAGAGTGACGAATGCGAAAGGCCTTGCTTTACCACGATGATGCCCATTGTGCCACTCTAAACGTAGCTCCCTCGAAACGTTAGGTAATTTGCGCTAGAGCGCCATTGAACAGGACCAGTCTGGATCAATTCCTCACTCAAGAATAGTAGGCAACTTCATTCCCCCTCATCAGCTATCTTTGTGGCGTCAGGACGAAACGGAAACCTGTAATCTCGAAACTAAAACGATCTAGAGGGGTTCTCTTATTGTGGTTGACTCCATCTCGTTTACTCAGGGTGGAGAAGTCCATTAGCTTATTGTCGCTGCTCGAGTCTGTGCCCCACCTTAGAGACAGGACTTTGCCCTGCTACTCACTGTTGCATACAGCAAGGCCTCAAATTATCAGCATCCCGCAAAATGCCGTGTCCAACAAGCAGAACACTACCCCAGCAGCCAGAGTTTGCATGTGAGGAGTGTCGCAGACAAAAGGCGCGGTGCGACCATGTGCGACCAAAATGCGGCTTTTGCTCCGAGCGGAATGCAGTGCATCGTGGTGGATAAGAGACAGCAGAAGGGTCCCATACGGGGTCGGATCAACTCAATGCAGTCACAGCTTGGTTCGTTCCCCATATCTGGCAAACTCTGGTGTTGTTGCAGGTCCCTATATTTTTCGTGTAAGCATTAGCGGATGAAGAGATCTCTTCTTCTTGTGCTTGTTTGTCCTTTACCTTGCCACGGCCTGTGATATCATCGCGGATTCGCGTCATCCGTGTTCAGCTATCCATTTTATCTCACAGGATTGTTAACAATATCTTTCTTGTACAGCAACATTGCGGTGGCGGCTTGACCAATATCTCAGGCCTCAGCTAGCCCCGGCCTTGCCTCCACAAGGACCACCCGCCGAACCAGCCACCAATGCCCCTGTAGACCTTCCCATCATGCTTGAAGGCTTTGGAATTCAAACCAGCTTGCCAAAGGACCAAGCCGTATCAGTCGCCTCGACAGCATCTCTAGACGTATCAACGACTGATGCGCTAACGGTGTCAACTACGTCGACTAATTCCGGCATGCCCGCTCCCAATGACCTGCCTGACGTCGGTCTCCAAGGCTGGTCAGATTGGCTTGGCTGGCAGGATATGAACACCACGATCAGTCTTTTACCTCAGAAACCGCCAGAAATCCCATCAATAGACCATGTCAATTTTATTACTCTCAGGCAGAACAGGCCTACCACAGCCGACTCTGGCTCCAAAGTTAAGTTGACGGATCTCGTTTGGCTCGAACTGTGCATGCGTCCCTTCATAAGCATCTATCGTAGATTTGCTAATAGCCTCCCACAGGGACCAACTATACTTCGAGAGGGTGCATACATTCTGTCCTATCCTACGCCGCCAGCGATATTTTGCTTTAATGGCCCAAGACAGCCTCACTCCTGCCCAGGCATGTTTAGATGGCGCGGCTTTCCGAGATTGGCTTTCCATCTTGTGACCTGTCTCTTCCTCTTCCTCTTCCTCTTCCTCAGCAATCAGTCCCGATGTGAGCGAGAAATTCGTTGACGCTGAAGAAGGGAGGAGAACTTTCTGGTTGGCTTTCAGCTTTGACCGAATACGGTGCTTGCAGAAGACTGGACCCTAACGATACAGGAGGAGAAGGCAAGTTGTTCTCGCTGGTAATATGGTGAAATGCAATCCAAAACGAAAGACGAACTAACGTGATGAAAACAGCCAGCCAATTCGCATCAGTTTCCTCCCAGAAGCACTTGCACAGACTGGATACAGCACACTGTCATCGTCCGCCGAATGCGAATGCGTTGTCATGGCCACGCAGCATGGTCGCTGCATGTCAGACCGGCGGTCGTATGTAAACGAATCCGAGAAAAGAAGAGAGAATTTTGTATCCATCAGGGATGGTTGGCCACAGCGCTGGAGAGACGAGTGCAAATAATTCCCTCTTCGCCCGCCGTTGACAGTGATCCGATGATTTTTTTTACTCACATGCTAGCTTACCGCGCGACTGTCCAGCTCAGCAACACGGTCCAACGAGCCTCATGGCAGACTGCCAACCACCAGGTCCTGGTCGCATCCTATCAGAGCCGCGCTGCAGCCGCTCGAATTTTCCGTCTAGCAAAGGCAGTGCCGCACCATAGCCATTTCAAGACTAATTAATTTTTGCCTGACACCCTCGCGTCTGCGGCCGTCTTCCTCGCTACACAGGCTGGTCTTCCGAATGGCGTTTGCGATGGTGTCCAGCACCTGCTCCGAGCGCTAGCCGAACTACAGATCACTCATAGCATGGCGCGAGATTATCTACAGACCCTTAAAGATACTGTACCAAGAGACTAGGCGACGATGCAAGACAAGTATGTAGATTCAAAATTACATCTGATAAGAAAAGTATCTATGAGCATTACATGAGGCATCATATAGTCTCCATCTCCCTTTATCGGGGGCATGGAATATTCTCCCATCTTCCTGAGGGATAGGAAATAGGCATTCGGCGGGCAATAAACACAGACAAATGAAGCAAGAAGATGCCCAATAGAGTACTCATGATTGGTCTAGGCTGTGACTGGAAGTATACGTGGCATAGCATCATTTCCCCAAAGATAATGGGTGCATCAGCCTCGAGCTGTACCCAGTATTGTCCTGGAATATCGGAAATTTCCGTCATTTTACACAGAATAGAGTTCAACTCCATGTATTTAGCTTCGGACAACTCCTGCTCTCCTGAGAGGTCTTCCCATCGTTTATCTCGAGGCATCGTTGAATAACGCTATAGGGTTTTTCCATGACAGTGCATAAGTGGGAACAACCAGCGGGCCACGCTGCTTCTTGATGCAGTCATCTAACCTAATGAAGAAGTCGCATTTGTTTCTCTTTCTAGGTAAGGTGTCTTCCAGTTCATTCACGTCGATTTGGAAGGTTACAAGCGTCACTTCAAGCTTACTTGTGTCCCGACATATTTTGTCACCGACAATACCGAGTCATCCTTTCCAGTCAGTCTCAAGGCTATGGTACTCTCTGCTCTAACAGTCCAATCACATGAGGTGATCTTGAACAGATCAACGGCAAATGGCTCGTGCTGGCTGTTATAGTGACAGATAAGAGGACTTACTTGAAAAGGATAATGCTGCAATGCAAAAGGACGCCCGCGTGTCGGCGACGCCAATGATTCTCAGCAGAAATCGGACTTCGGAGACCGAAATCCGGTCGATCACGCGCGGAAATACATAAGCCCGACGGAGCTCTCTCCGGGCGATCAACACGCACGAGACGGGGATCTCCCGCCTGCCCCACCTTACCACCAGTCATCAACTGAAAGTATCCAGACTTCCTGGCCTGGCTCAAGTCGTATGAGCAGTCAATACGATGGAGAGATCGAAAGCAGACCCCGGCCAATCTAGCACCTATGGCCAGGCTTGCACGCAGTGCTACAAGGCAAAATGCCGCTGTGTGCGTACGGCCAATGGCGATGATTGTGAAAGGTCGATATGGCATATCTGGTTTCTCAACTCACAACACTCGACTAATAGGCCTCCAGATGTATTCGTCTTGATAAAACCTGTGAGCCATCAGAATCGGTTCGCAGGCGCAATGCGCAGACAGCCGCAGCCGAGGCGTCGGATATGCGGATCTCTCGGCTGGAAGATAAGATGGAGAGCTTGTTATCTGCCATGCAGTCTTTCATCGGTGCTCGGGGGGAGACTGCGCCTGCTGTCAATGTCATTGAACCGATCAATGGACACGGCAGTGCTTCATCGATCACGTCTCATTCGAATAGTACTCTGGTGAACCCGACAGGCACGAACCTTGCATTCAGTGATGGGTCGACATTCGCAGCGGGTTCCATTGCGACAGTCTCGCCGCACCCAAATACATTTCTACTGCCCCATCAGTACCCTCTATCTCCCACTACTCCATCATTGATCCAGGCAGACGAACGATTAAGTTTTTTCCGATCCCGCATGCTGCCATTTTTCCCTTTCATCGACTTGACCCCGAATATGACAGGCTGGTATCTGCGGCAGAATAGACCTTTCCTATTTCAAGCCATCCACACGGTGACCATCTTCTCAACGCAAGAAAGGCTGGCTCAACTCGAAGAGTTGAAGCGTGTCTTGTTCACATCTGCTCTGCTCGAAGTCCAGTCAAACATTGACCTGTTGCTGGGATTGTTGACGTATATAACATGGAGCACGGATGCTTTCCTCGGCAGAGCAGACCTCCTCTCACGACTCATGATGCTAGCAATTTCACTTGTATATGATTTGCGATTGTTCAAGCCGTCCTCGACAGACGTGGAAGTTATGATGATGATCACCCAGGGGCGGGCTGATGATAATAACCAGAGCCCCGCTGATGAAACGCCCTATGAGTTATTGGAAAGGCAGCGGGCAGTACTGGCATGTTTTATACTGAGCTCCAAGTGCGTGTGCTCTCTGATTATTTATCAAACTCGACAGGAGTCTTGTGCTCGCGGCTCAGCGTTACTAACATTGACTTTCTCAGTATCTCGTCCCACCTTGGGCGCCAAGATGCTTTACGATGGACGCCGCAAATGGAGGAAGCGCTTCGACTCATTACCACGAATAAATCATGCGCCTCAGATGAGTTATTCGTCTCTCAAGTCCGCTTACAGTTGTTAAAGCAAAGAGCGGAGGATATCCGGCGTCAAGACGAAGCAGATTACCTTTCCACGGGAGCAACACCCATGGCGTCAGTTCCTCGTTTATTCTATCTTAAAACTCTGCGAAGACAACTGCAAGAGCTCCGCGCTTCATTCCGGCCAGATCTTCCCCAGATTGGTAAGTAGATTTACAGGCGAGGAGCTGGTCACGTATCTCATTTGCCGGATCGCTAATTCTTTTTCTAACCGGGGTTATCCTCCGGTTTCTCATGCAGACATTCTTAATACACACACACAATATGTCGAAATATACATTAATCACCTAGCGTATTCCATCAATACAGACTCACTTTCTTTGTACCCATCTGGACAAAGGAATGACGGTGGGATCGACTTGGGATTCGAACGTCTCGAGTGTTTATGGCTGTCAGTTGAGAACATCAAGTCATGGCTGAAGAGTTTCTACAGAATCCCCTGCTCGAAACTTGTCGGCCAACCTTTTCATTTCTGGTCGCAAATGATTCTGAGTATCACACTCTTGAAATATCTCTCAACCCTGAAAGACCCAGAATGGGATTGCCAAGTGGTGCGCAGCACACTAGATCTCATAAAAACCATCGATTCCATGCTGCAGAGAATTGAATTGAGTAGCAAGGAGCCGGAACTTCAGTGCAACGACCATCTACTGAAATATTTATCGAAGCTTTTGAGCAGATGTCGCATGTGGGCTGAAACTCGGTGGCACATCACCTCTCAGGTACACGATGTAGAGACCAGGACGTCTCGGAGCGTCAACCCTGACACCATCTCTCACAATTACCATGTGCCTGATCTTGACCAAATGATCTGGATGCAGTCGATGGACCTGGGAAATGAGCATTGGTTTGAGGATGTACTAGGCATGCCTGCGATAGTGTACTAATTTGCTGGAATTCCCATATATTTTATCTTTATGGTTCGGTACAATCCCACGAAATTGAATGCAGAAAGGAGTCCTTCAAGTCGGCAATCGTTGTGAGCGTAAGAAAGCCCGGCCGACCGATCTCTTCCGGCACATTGAATACAAAGTCAGCCCCTTGGCGTAAGATGTCCATTTTAGTGCAATGTTGGGCTCTTTGAAGAATCACTTAGCCCAGTTGTAGACCCTCTCGCTCGAGCCTTCCATTTAACAAGAGAACGGCATCTCTCCACCGGTTACTTCGATTCAAGTTTCAACTTTTGAACAAATAACATCGACTGTGCTCTCCAATGTAGATCGATGAATCTCAAATAATCCATTAGCTAAACCGAAGGTTTTCCCCCTTGCAAAAGTCATTCTAACTGTACTAAGTGGATGTGTCTGCACGACTAAGGCAACGAGACAATAATCTTCTTAGCCGAGACCCCCTTCTGATTGAGTTCCAAGGCCTCGTTGATCTTGTCCAGTCCCCGTCCGACAACATGCGGCTCCGGTGCCGGTACAAACTGCTTCTTAGCCAGTGCAGGGCCCAGGAAGTTCATATACACTTGAGACACACAGCTATCGGGATCAACCAGCCCCACAATCATGATGAACTTGATCTCAATGCCCGTTCGCATCTTTTTCACGGCATTCTTGCCCATCATGGAAAACATCCCGCCCATCAATCTGTAAGTCCCGAACAGTCCTCGAATCGAGTCGGGTTCCCTCCGCGCACCACCCGCCAAGGCGATGAATCTCCCCGTCGGTAGTTCGGGCGTCTTAGCGATCCGTTGTATCATGACAGAAGCGCAGACCTCATCTGCGTTTTCTCCGACGGTATATGCGCCGACTAGCTCCCGGCCATCAAGCGCACGCACAAGATCTACGACAAGTGTCTTGCTATTGTAGTCGAAGACGTGAGAAGCGCCGAGACTCTTGACCAAGGCAAAGTTCCTTGGCGACGATGTCGATATAACTTGGTAGCCAGCTGCAACGGCGAGTTGTATAGCGCAACTGCCAACGCTTGACGCACCACCCGTGATAATAATAGCGCGGGGAAGATATTCCCCAGGTTGTGGATTAGGCGGCGGTGGTACCTGGGGGAGATCGAGGCCGAGATAATCTTTATGGAAGAGACCATAGGCCGCTGTGCCGATCCCGAGCCCAAGGACAGCGGCCTGCTCATCGGTGATATGGTCGGGAATCGGGGCGACCATATACTCGCGTAACACGGTATACAGCTGGAACGCACCTTCAGCAGCATCGCCGGATTCTTTCGCAATAGAAACGGCGCAGCCAGCTACCCTGTCACCAACCTTGAAGCGCGTCACGCCAGGGCCGACATCAAGGACGGTGCCAGCGACATCTATTCCGAGTACCATGGGGTACTTGAGATGCGACGCAAGGATAGAGCCCTGATATTGTAGTACCCAGTCAAAAGGGTTAATACCGACTGCACCATTCTTGATCGCTATTTGGCCAGGACCGGGGGTTGTGTAGGGTGCATCGCCGACTTGTAAGGGCACTGCACCTTTCGAGGGAATCCAAGCTGCTTGGTTTTTGGGAGTCATTTTGTTGAAACTGGAAGAAGAAGAAATACTTCGAAGGGGTCGGGCAATTGTAGAGATTGCGACAAGAATGACATGTTCTCGTGAACAGTCTTGAGAGCTTGATAATCATAGCGACATAGGGATGGAATTGAAGCACTAACGCTAAGAAAAAAGAGAGGCGGCTCCCGGACTTGAATTCCGTATTAGGACCCAGGAAAAAACTCCCACAGCCTCCCCTAAACCAATGCATCGGACCTATTTATAAAAACTCCGTATCGATTTTTTGATAGGTTTTTGTGGTATGCCCAACCCCGTGCATTGTCCACTTGAACACCTGCCTACTAAGAACAACTGACTGGTTACGAGGTGAAAGCACTCTGTATATGCTGTTTATCCAATAATAATCCTTGGGATGGTCCATCACTCCCAACGCCCACCGCATAGTTTGAATCCGCCGACTCATTAGGCCGATGGGTCGCCCAGCACTTTGAGCCGCATCCAACGGGATGCACGATACAGATAGGAGTGTTAGAGCCCATGAACTTTTTTAACTTGCGTCTAATGTGTGTTGTTTGCTACCTCAAACTCAAACTCGAAATTGCAATCTCGAGTCCGCCCCAGTTTCCTGTGTAGGGAGATTCCATTCATGAGACTCCGGTGGGCCGCGGCGGCAAGGGCGGCCTCACGCCGGAAACACCTGTAGGATAGGGCCACTTTGACTATCGGGGGACGCCACACCCGAAATGTGTGCCCACTTTACTAGATCCAGTGGAGTCTAGACTACTAGAGAACGCTCTAACAACCCTACGGAGACGGAATTCGGAGTTCGGCAGCCGGCCCCATCTGATTTTGTGAAAAAATGGACCCTGAAGTCGTAGTCGAGCGATGATCGCTGCCCACCGTTTCAACTGTTGAAAGTACGGTCGTTGAGAAAATGTTCAACGTTGATCAACGCTCTTCAGAGAAATAATAATTAACTTAAATTAAGATTAAATTTTTTTTATAATCTATTATTGTTCTAATTTTTCAGAAAACAACTTCATTTTAAAATCCACCCTTAAGATGACCGTCCACTTTTCACCTGCCTGTTGACTTTTGCCTAGCCTGTTACCTCAGTAAGTCGAAGTTCAACAGGCCTGACTTTGCACAGGCGACTTCGATGCCCCGAAAACAATGCCCCCCAAAAATCGACAGACAGAAAAGACTTCACCGCGGCAATCCAAAGCGGGCGGTAACAAGACCAGTCAAAAGACCTATAAATATGGCCTCCTTTCCTGGTTCTCTGTCGAAATAGTTCTCTTCCTTACCACATCCGTCGAATTCTGTCAAGCTGAAATCGAGATGCCTTCCTGCAATAGACTTATGAGTCCTTCCTCTTTGACCCTAAACTCCTACTGTTACTGATACTGATGGAGGCCACTTAAGTCACCAAGTCACCTGCCTCTCTCTACCCACTGGTGGTTCACTCCACTACGCCCATCTTCGTGCCTATAGGCCAGAGCTTGAGCCTTGACTGGCGATAATCCTTTGGTGAGTGCTATATTCATATGCCTTGTCGAGTGGAGCTAACCATGTGACTTCTGACTAGCTTCTTGACCACCAGAGTGCAAGTGAGGCATCCTGTAGGTAAGTCCTTTATCAGCCCTATACCGTCGGCTAGTGCTGAAACACCTAATGTTACGACCAGCCAGATCATGTTAAATAGGAAGGCCCCAAGTCAGCACTCCAAGGGTTATACATCTACCTGCCAGCCACACCCATGACCAAGTCGCCCATAGGCCCCAAGCTCTTGATGTGAGTTATGGGCCTGGACTTTGGTTCTACTCTTGACATGTGCTTATTAAATAGGGCCTTTAGCGAGTCCATCAGCTAGACCTCTGAGTTCTAAGCACCGCCACCTAGATCCCTTCCCATGCATATGTCGCCGTTATCCTAAATGGTTCGATGTTCTGATAGTGTCTCAAGCATGGCTACTTAGGCACGCTATCGCCGCCACAGGTCTCGTGCAGCTGGACATCCGTTGGATAGATACGTCTACTCGGTGCTTCTACCCTATCACCACCCATTGATCATTAGTCATGATCCTGGCTAGAGGGCAGACGGACTAAACCGACCTTAGGGAGCTACGAGACGGAAGATGTGTTAGATCGATTTGGAGATGAGACTTATCTCCACAAGACGAGTCTTTCGCTATCTTGGCAGTATCGTCCGTCGTAGGTATAGGGTGAGATTAGATAAAAGACCGTGAGTGAATCTTATTATCAGACATATACTAACTATCTTGCAGGGCCACTAGTCAAGACGCTACGAGAAATAACGTACAACTTAACGAGCCTCGCACGCGTCTTGCACTATCGCTTCCTTTCCCATAAAGCGATGTATCCCGCTTTAAAGGCCATTTCGGGTTGTGAAAGTCGACGTGAATGGAGAATGCCCGATCACTCCACTCTTTTGCCTTACCCACTGATGCCGACCGAGAACACCAGCTCCTACTCCATATCCTTGGAAAGCTGAGGCAGCCATGCGACCAATCTACCGACCAAGAACACACAATGATTGTACATAGATGCAGCAATAGGCTTGGATGTCGAGGAGCCCTTTCATAGGCGGGACCAACTTCCTCACCTGCGGAGGGTGCGAATAAGAGGGATGCCCAAGGTCCATCCGATGGGTAGATATCTCTCGTTGTTCGGAACAGACGTCGATCGCAATGAACCAGTCCATAAAGATGGCCATGAGCATTCAGATCTGCCACAACGGTTGTCGCTTTCTGCTATCTCCCTACCCTTGTCAAATCTGGTGGAAGCCTTTGTCACCAGATGATGGAAAGCCATCGCTTTCGACGACAGTGATTATTTCAATGAGACAGGCGGCCTTCTTGCAACAGCAGATCGCAGACATATCGTTCATCCACTTTGTGCAGAACCAGCGACAGCGCCAGCTCCCTACGGTCAGGCGATAAGTGAACAGAGCGACTCTCGCCCTCGCTTCGGAAGAGAAAGTCCTTTGCGTCACACTCGCCCAAGCGTTGCGTTCCATCCTGCCTCTTACAACTGCGCGAGGCATCTCCATTGGTAGCTTGCCAGTTCCTGCCTCAACAGCGCATCGAAGATCGTTGTCCACCATGCACATGTTGCCCTGCATAACTGGGTGCTACCATTGGGCAGGAAAAAAATCGATCCCTCTTCCGTGGTGTACCAGAATCAGTTGTGGGCACATTGCCAGATACAGCGCTCGTCATCACCGCGAGAGGGATGGGAGCGACAGGCATCTGCGAGCCCGCAAATTGAGCATTGCATCATTTGCGGAAGAGCCCCTTCTGTCTTCACAGGCCCCTGATGCCCAAGATAAGTTCCCCGCCTTGATACGTGTGCGAACCACTCCTTGACACGAACACTGCATGCCCTAAACGGTAAAGGTACCCAACTCCGGTACGTCGTTGATGTTTCGCCATCAGTTCGTGTCTACCAGCCAAAATCACGGTCACAAGCATACACCACGTTACAACATCCCGTACGTATGAAGTTCGTACGAGCCATGCCGACCTGAGCTGACCGAACTCCACCTCTCTCAGTTTCTTTCACTATGACAACACGAACGATTCTTCTCGTGCAGCTATGTTCCAGCCAGCTCAATATCATTGAAGACTTTGCTGAACATCGAGTCATGCGACCAGCCCAATCCATACTCAACCACCTCAGGTCAAGGATGGTACAACGGTCAGCCCGGTATCTGGAAAGGTAAGTCAGAAACCGTTTTCCTGATCCAAGCACTGATAACGCGCCCAGTAGGACATGCCTCCAGGCACACCTCGGGCGAATCATGAAAGCTTCAGGCTACGAGGGACTGCCACCTTCCAGCCCATCTTGTATCAACGCACACGCCGCCATAGACAAAGAGCTATTGTGGAGCAATATATGTACGGGCTGAAGAGTGGTGAGGTCGGGGATGATAGATTGTGAGTGGACCCCATATCGCCGGAGGTATACTGACACCTTTCGAGAGTCACTTGCCAGGTGCGAAACATGTCGACGACACGCGGTGCGAACGCTCCGAACCGACTGGACGGGGAAAGGAGTGCCAGACAAAGGTCTGTGCTATCAGACTGCTCAAAATTCGGCGCGACTGCAGGACGCTTGATCAATACGATTAGAGCAGCAGTCTCCCAGATGATCACGATAGTGCGGCCAACCCATTTTGGCGAGATAATTGGGCTCCCCAGTTGAGCGTGACGGATCTCGACATTGGCACGCGAGCTCGGCGGCATGCAATCGATTGCATTGGAATGGCATTTCCCCTGGCGGCTCAATAACGTCAAATGCCGACGCCGAGTGTCCCTCGCCAATCTTAACAACATATGGGAAGCAGTGCGATACTTCCAGCAAAGAGGCCGACTATGAAGACCACCCCCACACTACACATGAGCGGCCGGATGATCAATGGCGACCAAATCAGATCCCACGCACTCCTGGAGCCCTTCGTATTCCCGCTTCCCGATATGAGCAGCCCTCATCATGTAGACTGAGGCGTGGATCTGAGGCAGGGATCATCACAAACATCCACTGCCTTCAAGCCCAAATATTGAGCATTGGCTCTTTTGCCAGACTTTCCAAAGGGTCACCTTTATGGTTGGGCAGTCCCAAAATGAGTTCATTCGCTTTTGGATTCTGCACCCGTCACCCATCCTCCAATCGACCGTCAAAACGCTGATCAGTCATCGGATAAACGTGAGTCAAGGGTCCCTTTTCTGATCTATTTGCTAACGTGTGCCCAACAGAATGTGCCTCCGTGCAAACCCCGAAGCATGTCAACAACGCCGCAGGCGTTTGACTGCCATATTCCAGATATGCAGTTCATTTCGAAGTGCACGTTGCCAGTTTCCCAAACGAGAGGGCATGCTGGGCAACATGCTCACGAAGGGCTTGACCGCCACGGTTGTTTGGCTCAAATCAGTGCCATGGCTGGACTTGGTCGGTCTTAGAGTCGGTCTTGTGGGAGTCGGTCTTGTGGGAGTCGGCCTTGTGGGAGTTGGCTCGTGGGAATGGGCTCGTGGGAGTGGTCTTGTGGGCGTGGGCTTCTAGGTGTTGGCTTCTAGGTGTTGGCTCGTGGGAGATGGCTTGTGGGAGTGGGCTTGTGGGCATTACTTTATGGGAGTGGGCTCGTGGGCATGGATATGTGGGTATCGGCTCGTGGAAGTCGGCTCGTGGAAGTCGGCTAGGAGTTAGGAGAAAACCAGATACATCTACTCGAGGTATGCTCCATGGTCGTTTCAGTCGGCTACAGCTTTGATATAAGTTAAGAGAGAGAGAGGGAGAGAGACCCGAAGCGATCTTTAAGAGTCCACTAGAGCGGGCATTAGTTGACTCTAACTTAAGATAGGCAGAGCCACCAATACATAGGCTGTGTTGTTAGCTAGAAGCCACCAGAATGCCGAGTATTAAGTAAAGGCGAGTATAAAGAGCTTTAAAAAGATCTCCTTAATCTGATATCGACTGACTTATTGTAAAGGCTAGTGTTATATACGGACCAGCTCCGCGGGACGTCGCGTAAATAATGTGGCCCCCGCGTCTAGGACGACTTCACCGCTTTTACCGTCGCGTTGGATCAATAGTAGCTTCCCCTCGCCACGCATTAGTCGACGGGCGTGTTAATACCTACCGTTCTCGCTTTAGAGACACGAGGCTATGTTTACGTCCATAACGTGCGCGCGCTAATACTATTCGACATTCTTGCTCGATAAGTAGCTTAGCTAGTAAACGTTATTATTATTACTAACCTATCCACCTACTGCGCGACTGATATTCTGATCTCCACGGACATAAGTAGTAATCGAGCATATATGCATTACAGCCTATCATCTTCTTATCTAAGCAATACTATGCTAGTGGATACTCTATTTATGCTTTGATTGCTTTAATAAAATTCGATTACTTTAATGAAGGCACGCGATCGAAACGAGACCAATTTCGAAAATTAAGTAGAATATAATAAAGGGAATCACCTGATTCGATAAGAATGTTAATAGATCTACCTATATCTATAGGGGCTGGGCACTCGTCTCCTAGGGAGCACGTATAATATCACGCCTACTAGTACTTAATCTTCTATTAGCGGAGCGATTATATATAAATATGGCTAACGTGAAGCCATATCTTATAGCTATATAGTGTAGTCTACGAGACTAGTAACTCTGGCCTAACTATCATTATAAAGCTAGTAACTAAGTGCTACCGCTAGTGGATTAACTTCAGCTAATAAGATCCCATATAATGTTTATATTACAGGCATCACTGCTTAGCCATATCAGTCGTTCTAAGGTCTAGAAGATCTTATATAAGGTGTTATTAGTTTACGCCGTCTCTCGTAGTATTGATAACATCACGGTCCCTACTTAAGCTAAACAACCGAAATAGATCTCTCGCGATGCCTGTTGGTTACTGGTCCGAATGGCACTAAGGTTTCCAAACAGCCCCTATGATCTAATCACGTGACACATGGCCCCGGCCCTACTACTACTAAAGAGAAGTTGATTTAAGCTTCCAAAAATCCATGCCCTTTTAATTAACGATTCGAAAAATACTAAGAATTCGGTATTCAGTGATATCAGTTTCACCCAGGAATCCACTCTGATAGGTGTGGGAACCCATGAAGAGGAAGCCAGAACCGTGTAAGGCTACCCGTCGAACTGCCATGACAGAATAAAGAAAGGGTCTTGCGTATTAGTGCTGGGTATCTAGCTCAGTAGCTTATCATTCAGGTGCAGCAGTGAGAGTTACGCCAGAATGGTGTGGTGTGAGATGCAAGCTCATTATCCCTCTATGTTGCACTATCCTTTCGAGTCCCTATGACATCTGCGCCGTCGCGTGCATCCCTACATGGCTACGTGAATCCATCTTTGCTCGCTCCAGGCCCTTCTCAGCGCGCTTGCTCCTTTTCCAAACACAGCAAGCTCTACTGACCTTGTCCTAGAGAATGCCATCGTGCTGATCGCGGGTGATGCGTCATGACACAACGCTTTTCCGGCCACCTCATCAATCACACATCTCAGCTATCGCACAGTCATGTGTCTCATCAGACAAACAGCTGTGCATCGCTGCGTAGCTGATGTCACGCAACGCATGATCACCACAAGTCCTTAACTTGCCTTTATAGGCGCATCTTATGTTCCGCGTGAGCTGCTGACTGACGGAGAGTGACTGTGAGGCTCTTCCGTGGCATTCTTAGGTGCTTTCAGGTTGTTTCAAGAAGAGTGCAAGTCAGAAGGGACCAAAGCGCTCGTCATAGTGGACAAACTCCAAGCCGGTGATGCAGGGCTCATTATGCTTTCGTCCTGCACGCTGCTTTCGCCCGCGTAGTTGCCCTGATTAGACCTCTATGATTTATTCTTCTCGTAGACTGATGACTGCTATCGGTAACACAAATTCAGTATATCATGCTGTTCGATGGTCGTACTACGGCAGGCAGCCTTGTCAGGGCGTGGGGCAGGGCAGCTTAAAAAGTGTATATACACACCGTACGTGCACAGTATCATTTTGTCGACTCTCAGGCTCACCGCAGTATTCAATTTCATATGGATCCCACCTTTGTAGCCGGTGCGGTTGCTGAGCATTGGCTTCATGTTTGTATCATACGTGGTTAACTTTGAATTAACTTAGATCCGATTTGTTTCATGGCGTATCGCAGTCGTACTCAGAAGAGACCGGTATACAGACTTCACTTCATTGGTCATGTTTTTGTGAGACCACTAGAGAGTCAAGTCACGCGTGCGACTTTGATGTCATAGCATATACTGTATAGTTCAAAAAAAGAAAATGTTGTTCATTCATTGAGAGACATGCGGCCATATATATATATCGGGAAGCTTGAGCCAACTGGATTCTTGGTGTAGGGCCTCCCAAGTTAATGACATGATATAGCTTTCTTGTTAGTACATAATTACCAGCTCTATGCCACGACTCTATTTCCTGCCAAGAAGGACTTGACAACGGCTGTTGGCCTGAGAGAAGAATACAGTGATGTTGGTGGGGTCTTTCCCCAAGTCGGACGAAGAGTGCGCGAGGGATGACACACCGCCTGACTCACTCCGTTTGTCAACGCGTCCAGACTCAGCATTGATAGTCTGCTCGTCGACGCATTGACACTGTCACCATCTCCAGAATTTTTGTTCAGTGCTGGTCACTGTTTTCCAAGCTGGTCACCGTTCCAAGCTGGTCACCGTTCCAAGCTGGTCACTGTTTTTCGAGCAGGCTTAACTGTTTACCAAGGCTCATTCAACTGTTTACCAGCACAGGCTCAACTGTTTAGAAAGCCGATCAACTGTTTAAGAATGCCGGTCGACTGTTTACGCACTCAACTGTTGATGAAAACAGATTCAACTGTTTACCAGAGCAGGCTCAACTGTTTACCAGAGCAGGCTCAACTGTTTACCAGAGCAGGCGTAACTGTTTACGAATGGTCATTCAACTGATTATGGACGCTTAGTCAACCATTCAAGCACGCTCATTCAACGGTTCACGAATGCTCAGTCAACTATCACCATACCAGGCCGGTTGCCACTATGGACTATTAATCACCGCATCTACCCGTCACCACCAGAGCCAACCTTAACAGTCATCTTGGGTTTCCTGACCTCTGAGATAGACGTGAATCATGCGTTCTTGCCCAAGTGTGATGGTCTTTGACCGAGCCGACCAGCCTGGACGTGTGTGTATATATGCTCTATATGTGTATACATCTCGTGAGATCAAATTCTGGACATGATACTACGATGCACGGCGAATTCGGTAACCGCAAAATTCTGGGTTTATTCATTCTCTATACAACGCTATCTTGGAATGAAAACAGGCCCTGGAATGCGCTCTCCTGGCCCTACTGCCAGTCTCTTCGCCCGTGGCCCGGGCGTATAAAAGTGAACTATGGATGGTGGTGCAGGTCTTGGCTTCTTCAATTGCAGAGCGAGAATCGAATACTGGTCCCTAGCACCACGTAGAGGTGCCTGCACTTCGCTAGAGTTCCTTGGTGTCGCAGCTTCCCCCTGCGGAGAACTTGGTGATGCAGCGGTCTCCTGCAGAGAACTTATTAACGCAGCGGTCTCCTGCGGGTCTCGATTGTCATCACAGCGTCCCCCTGCGGAGTTCACTTGGTAATGCAGCGCCCCCCTGCGAGGAACAGTTAGTATCGCAGAGCCTATCCTGCGAGGAACAGTTGGTATCGCAGAGCCTATCCTGCGAGGAACAGTTGATATCGCAGAGCCTATCCTGCGAGGAACAGTTAGTATCGCAGAGCCTATCCTGCGAGGAACAGTTGATATCGCAGAGCCCATCCTGCGAGGAACAGTTGGTATCGCAGAGCCTATCCTACGAGGAACAGTTACTAACGCAGAGCCTATCCTGCGAGGAACAGTTGGTATCGCAGAGCCTATCCTACGAGGAACAGTTGCTAACGCAGAGCCCATCCTGCGAGGAATAGTTGATATCGCAGAGCCTATCCTGCGAAGCATGTTTGATGACGCAGAGCTTGTACTACAGAGCCGTGGCCATAGAGACGCTTAAGCCTGCAGACAAGAGATGGAAACTATAACACACGGGAGTGTAAGGAGGAAAGTCCTGATTTTTCCTGGGCTGGAAATCTCGCGCCTTTTATGTTAAGTCGGCTACGTCTCTTCACAGAAACCCCCTGCGCAAATTCATAGGAACGGCCACTAATTTAAGAGGGCATTAGAAAAGTTACTTAGAAATCTTTGGCCAGAAGACGTACCTTCCATAGATCCGAGGTTAGTCTCATGTTGCCAGGGGGGACCAGCCCTTAGTTCCATCAAATCGATCATCTAGACTGACCATTTCCTGCGGTGGGTTACACTAGCGATAGGGTACCAGAATTGATGGAATGGAATCCATGGATATAATCGCTGTGGCAATCAAATTGCGTTGCATTGCAAGTTGCGACAGAGGTAATATAACACAGCATTTAAAGAGGGCTAGACGCAATAGCCATGCAAGTGCGACCATAGGTACTATTGCCATTATTGTCGCGCATCGATCAAGAACTGCTGCAGCGCACGTTGTCCTTGTTTTTACCAGACTCTAAGAAACCAAACAGTGGTGTTCAGCAAGATACACGAAGGACTGGTCCTTAAGACCAACCCACGTGCTATTCAAGATTTAAGGTGCCGGCCGATCATTTCGATCTCGCCGTCCCACGTTCCACTCATCTTATGCACCCTCTTCCTGACGATACTTTAGCCATTGGTAAACTCCTGATGAGAAGGTCAATCAATTGCTACGAATACTACACAATATCTTCTTGCTCATCTCTGTAATCGACGCGCGTGGCAGGGCAAAACATGAGACTTCACGAGTACCTTTGCATGTACCCTGGTAAGTACCCGGGTAAGTACCCGGGCAAGACTTTGGTTGATCTGCGGGCCCTGCTTCTACCGCTCAAACTTACCGGCCACGGACCCGCTACACTCCTGTTTCCAACAACCTTGATTGGTGAGGCATCTGCAGTCCATCATGACTCACACCCTGCCTGACCAATCAGACGCTAGCCCGTTCTCGGAGAAGCCGTCGATCACTTTCTAGAATTTCCATGTGGCGCAAGACCCACGTGTCTTGTAACATCCTGGACCAGGGGCCATGGAACTTCATCTTTGACCGGATTTACAAACTAGCTCTAGAAACTTGTCTTTTTCTGAAATTGATATCCATAGCGAGCTAGTGTACAAATGCTGCTCATAATATGTTCTCTGCAAGCGCATAGATAAGACACCTGATAGTTGGGAATTATATTACATCTCAAGAACATTCTCGATTGCTAATGCGGGCCTGCCTGACCTAATTTTCTATCGCATAATTGCCCTTCGCACATGTTTGGAATAGGGATGTGACTTACATCATAGTACGCGGGTTCAAGGAACTGAGTTTTGACGGTCGCAAATTGCCTTCTGACCTCACTTGAGCCAACGGAGTGATTCCATCAATACCTGTCATTGTTTATTTAAACGAAGCCGAGTAACTCGATTAGCTCGGTATTGAAAGTCTTCACGGCATGCCAAAGAATAGATTGACCCCTTGATCTCGATCGACCCTGAATTTGGACCGCGAGAGTAGACATTTGTGAATCTTGACGTTGTTGGGCTGATCGTAGGCATGGAGCCTCGCAGCCAGCATAAGGGGCGTCTCTCCTAGATGATCGGGACAATCGACATCAATCAGCTCCTCTCTCGCAAGGCTTGTAATAGCATGAAGGTCTCCGTAGATCATAGCTAGGTGTAGGATGGTTCGGCCGTGGTGATCCTTCTGGTTGATCTTGGCCCGCGGATCCTGCAAGAGGATCTGCAAAATCTTATGCTGTTGATATTATAAAGCCACCAGGAGTGGCTGCTGGACTTTTCGATCTTGGCTGTAGAACTCGATATCTTTGCGCCGGAGCAGTTGTCGTACGATTGAAACACTGCCCTGAGTGACGGCCATCGATAGCGCAGTCTGACCGTAGGCATTGTATTGAGAAGCACGAAGTCATCTTACTCCAATAGCAGATCGATAGCCCCGTGAACCCCTGCTTGCACGGCAAGGATCAAGGGCGTGTGTCTTCCATGTATCGTGTTGATATTCGTCGTGCACGTGCAGAGGTACTTTCGAAGCGGATCAGGCTTCAAAAATTGTTGCTTTAGTGGATGGCTAGGGTAGAACAGAGCGGGTGACATGGTGGCGGTGAAGATGGATGTATTGGACGATATATGAGGGATGAGGTATTGTTAGGTTGACACACGTGAAATGAAGCCCTTGGGACTTTCATGTTCTATGCTGGCAAAATGAGTAATCTAGGCGAGAGTCATAGACTCGTCTTTTGTTCACAGCATGTCTGAGTTGAAATGCCGCGAAGACAAATGCAGATCGTGAATGTTGCTTCACAGTGTTTGTTTCCAGAGTTTGACACACGCACCTTTTCGCTGATGCTGCTTAGCAATAAGGATTATGACAAGGCTCGATAGCTAAAACCGTGAAATAATGTTCAAAAGTGAAGCCTTATCCTAGAATCCGATCATTTGTTCCTGGGACAATTTATGGCTTCATCTAGGATCAAGGGCTCTAGCCCCAGAAGCCAGGTAATATCTTCTGCGCGCGATTCTTTCATTTGACTGTCATTGAGGTACTCTATCAGTAGAGTTATAATTCGAGTGCTGAGTCACAAAGCTACAGTATAATTGACCGGGATTGAAGAAGACACAGAATATGTTGTCTCGTTAACATCGCCATTTCACAAACAGCCGGCTTGACGGAACGGTCATGCAACGTGTTATTAATCGATAACAGGCAAATATGCCTCATGTGTCTCAATATATGACTGTTCGATTTTCTATCTCATTCCTTTCGCACCGCACACATCACAAATTATAGCTCATCTTCTTGGCTCTACTTATTGAGGTACGTGCGGACCGACTTCCCTCCAAAACCGACATCGTTCACCCCGTCCTCCTTCCCAGAAATATGCATTCGCTAGGCGGAGGTGATTGACGACCCCCGGATCTTCACGAAGCCAATAAGCCAGATGTCCAGTGACATTTCTGTACAACAAGCTCCCTCCGGTTGTATTCAAGTCCATCATCATTGGTGAAGAAGAGTTCCACATCGGCCAAAGAATATGTTCATCGGTATTTTCAGGCACTATGGCGTCACTTGCACCGCCCTTCGCATCCTGAATAGATATCACTGGAGAGTCTTTGATAATGAAGCTTCCCAACATTTTTTGGAAAGCATGCCTAATGCCTTCTGTTGGTGTTGCTGTATCTACAGAGAAATAAGCTGTTAAGTCTGCTCCGTGATATGCCGGAGTGACCGAGTACTGGTACTTCCAACTCTCTTTTGCGTTATTCCCGGAGAAAGCATCCACCAACCAGTAAGAAGGACAGACAAAGGATGTCTCAGCAAATATGTTGAATACCGTCTGCTGGTAGCCGGTCGCAAACTCGGACTGATTCACCGCGGTGAGCCCACGGTCGCCAAGAGTGTCGTAGAGAGGACCAAACGGATCGGGATAGGACGATGCGAAACCATAAATCTCCAATAAACGACTGACGTCTGAGGCAATGAAACGCGGAAACGTGTCTTCCACATAGGCCTTGAAATCCGCAGTGGTCTCCACATACGGAAGACTCAGGGGAATACCGTCATTGGCATTATTCTGAAAGAAGTCAGCAACCAATAATTTGCTTGAGGCTCTCCCTACATGACATGAGTAGTGACTTACGCCGGACAGAACGCGCTTGCCGCTGACTTGCTTTTCGAGAAGCTGCTTTGATGGAAGGTCTCGAATGAAATGTCCATCAATAACAGGCAAGAAAGCAAAGGTTCCCCAGGCCCCCGAGGCCGATACAGCCCCGCTGGCATTTTGTAAGGTGATGGTGTCGGCGTTCCTCAAGCACGCAAATGTCTGCGCGTCAGCTCTTTTGTCGCCAGCAAGGCAGCCTGCTTGTCCTGCAAAAGCTCGATAATATTCTGTCGGTACTTCGTCGTCATACCGATACTGAGTCACAATGTAGGGGCTTGATGCGATGATCTTATCAAGTCAGAATTAGTTGATCGCTGTGAGATGTAGCTCAATATACCACTTACATTGTTGAATAAATGATCTTCTCGGCCACCATAAGCCATTGCTTGGAGAATCGCTGCGCCTGCCCCAGCTGACTCGCCGCCTATCGTGACCCGAAGTGGATCTCCACCGAATTGAGAAATATGTGCCTGCACCCATTCAAGAGCGAGACGCATGTCCAGTAGACCAACGTTTATTTGACCGTATTCTGCCACATCTGCAGAAGAAAGGAAACCAAATGCGCCCAATCGATATTGAATCATGACTGAAATAAATCCATCGTCATTAGTGTTGATCCATCCACTTGGGTCGTGGACCGCCCCAGATAGACCATAGCCCCCACCATCTGTTTCACATTTTAGTACGGGTGGGTTGGTTGTTATAGTCACGAGGAATATGTGAAGGGGTCTTGACTTACGAATCCAGACAAGAACGGGGAGATCCCGCGCACTTGGTGACGCGAAGACGTTCAGGTATAAGCAATCCTCGTCACCTAAGTCTGAGTTAAATCCATAGACTTTAGGAAGCTCAGCGGCGCCTGACTGAGGACAGAGTGGCGGCTGATGAGTTGCACGAATGATAGTGGTCCGGTTGATAACAGGAGGCTGCGGAGCTTGCCATCGCATTCGTCCTACCGGAGGGGTCGCATATCGAATCCTGGTAACAAGTAGGAATGGGTCAGTGCTCTGTGGAATTCTTGAGGTAAGCGTAATCAGCCACCTACCCCAAAAAAACATTCAGCCTCGACGTGCTGTTGTAATATCCTTGATATTGTGCGTATCCCAGATCAACCACAGGATTGTCTGCTTGTAGATGTGCTCCCAAGCAAGCCGTGGTACATATCAAAATCGTAAAAATAGTGCTGCGGGAAGATATGAATAAATTCATGCCGAAATTGTGCTGCCAATGACCCAAAAATAAGCAACAAAAATGCCAACGAGAAACGTGCAAATTCAGAAGGAAAGTTTCTGGGTGTAGCCGCTTTTATCTGAGAGTGTGTGCCAAAAAACAGATTCGCCATTTTGCAACGCTGTCAACGCAGTACAAATCTTCTCACCTATTTACGCAAAGCTGACTTTTGTTGAGAAAAATTGTGACATGACTAGCGACCTAGGTCCAGGTGTTGACGTTGAAGCTCTTTGCTGAAATGAACTTTGTGTTGAGGTTAAATTGACGTTGAGGTTCAACCGCGCATGCTGCCTCAAAAAATCTGCGTAAAAGATTTACGGCGGAGAAGAAGTTGACCAATGAAGACTAACGTCAAGTCTTTGTACCTGCTCTTGTGTATAAGAAGCTCAGTTCCCTCATCGATAGGAGTTTCTATGCACCCAGATGACCTGACGTTCCAAGTTGATTTCATTGGAAGTGCACGCCCGGAAGTATGAGCGCCAGCAAGCATAACCGCAGACCCCCTACCATATGGGTCAGTGAAGCACCGCCCCTTCAAGCTGATTCAGTCTCCGAGACATCTACAGTGGATCAAGCTTTCCCGAAACCGTTGAGAACCAAAGAGAAGACGGCAACGCTTGATACCGAGAAATATCGCTCGAGTTCGGGAGCTTTGCATGAAGATCCATGGAGCATACTTGAGCCCATTGCAAATATCAAATTGGATCATCCATATGTGCTGGCTCGATACAAGGAAGACAAAGGCAGACTTGTCCAAGTGCGGAAACTGGAGCTGCAAGCATTCTCCGACCTTGGATTGCAACGAACGCTGAATCGCATCTCTCACCCCACTTTCCGGTCATTGCTTGGATGCTATCATCATGATGGTTCGGTGTTTTTGGCCTGGGAGCATGTGGAAGTTTCCGTCACTCAGATTCTGGCAACGAAGCTCGTGATCACGGCGAGTGAGATCATTGCAATTGTCAAGCCAGTAAGTGGAGTTACATATTGTATCACAATAAGAGCGATCGCTGATTATGAACAGATACTCGAAGGGATTCAATACCTGGCTGAACGCGGGAGAGTGCTGGCCACTTTGACAATGAATACCATCTTTTTCACTCAGTCTGGCAAGGTCAAGATAGGTATGCATATCAAATTGACCCCAGTTTTCAGACTTCTTACTAACCGTTCCATTCACCAGTGGGTATCGAGGACAGCTGCGAGATAAGTGCTTGGGAAATGGATGCTGCGACAATGAAGCTGTACGCTTTAGCGGATATTGTAACCAAGCTGATGGGTAAATGTCATTCGACGCATGAGTGGCCTGTCGAGATTGAAAATCTGCCTGATCAGCTTAAAAAACACTCTTTGACGGAGATCCTGCAGGTGATTGCCCCCCTTCTCTTCAATGTAACAAGGCTGATGTCCCAGACAACCCCCTTTCAGCAAAGGCCAAGTCCAGAAGAGTTGAAATCGCTTGTCAACTTGACGAACAAAATCGTGTATCACCGAGTCGAAATTCATTCTCATCGTGTATGAGAACATCATTCTACAATTCGACACATCCGACCTGTCGATGATAGGCAGCTTTCTGAATGCAAAATGATGAGCAGCATGTCTGGTTGCTCAGTAAGGATGGCGATGCCTATCGTAATTGGACAATTTTTCTTTCGATTTCTCTAGCGGCAAGCTGCTTGCATTGCAATCATAATACAAATGTTGGAAAAATTTCCGGCTCGTTTTCGGTTTCTATTCAAAACTAGAGGGTATCAAATTCCAGACAATTGACGTCAAAGTTCAACTCTCAGAGTCCCTAGTGTATACAGAAGTCTGAATGTGTAATTTGTACGCCACGACAGTTGAGAAGTTACTGCTGGTCGAAATTAAGTTTGAAGAATTAGGCGCAAGACAAGTTCGATAACAGAGGCTCATCTAATCATCGAGTTATCGTGTACATTCAAGTCCAGGTACACGTTGCCTTTACGTGCAAAACCTTTCGAGGAGCATTTGGCACTCTTTTGAAGCTTCGGAAATTAGACTTTTATTCTGACGGAGTCCGTCTGTTCTAGTCAGCAAATGGCTATCAATATTAGACCAATCTTGACCTATTGATGTACAGATAATTTCAAAAATAGATTACCCCCCGGACACACACGCTTTCTCCAAGTCCCTTACAAATATTGCGTCAGGATTATTCTGGCTATATAAAGCCCCTTCCCGTGGGAGTCATGCCTTACTATTGGCTACGGGACAATCTAAAACCCGGACGACTCGGAATAGGGGCCAAAGTGAGTCTCTGGATAGGAAACGTGTGTGTCTGGAGGAAATTCTGTTTTCGAAATCCACTGTAGGTACGGCGGCTCTTCTATCTTCATCCCAATTTTCGCAGAGTGGCATTGTCTGTGCGATTAACTCGTTTGTGGCTGGGTTATTCTACAAATTCTGTTGCATCCTTTTATGATACTTGTTATCACTGGATTACCATTGCCAAAAAGCAGTCAATGTGCAACAGAATACAGTACCGGACACGAGAACTTGAACTCCAAAGTATGGCGAAGACCTTTTCAATGATTTATCAAATTTTCATGCATATTCAATCCCCGATGCTTTGCTCAATCAATGGCCTTCATGTTAAACCACTTGTACAGTCTGATTGTGCCGCGAATGCCAAAGATAGGTATCATTGATGGCTTGTATTGCGGCGGGAAGCACGACAAGAGCAAGGTGACGGCTGAATGCTAACTGGAGAAGTGGACGGGGAGTATGAATCAGCCTTCCCAAGATTGCCCTTTTCAAGATCTGGAACGATCGGGTTCATGGCTGCTGAATCACCAAATTCAGGAGTTCCGGTGCATACTTGTTGACCTTCGGGAAGAAGATTTCGCGCCAGACCATTGAGTTCAACATTCTTTCCTGGCTGAGGGAATCGAATATCCAAGTTTTGTGGAGTCATACAGCCATTTATGTTCGCGATGAACATGGGTGGATAATCCTGCGCTTGGTTCTGTATGCTCTGGTTGAACACAGGCAATGAAGGACTGTCGACGGTAATTGGTGCACAGTTCATGTACATCTCACGATCTCCAATACGATTGAACCATGTCCAGGCCAAAGTATATTTCCCCGAGGCAATGTTTTCAGGTATCGTGAAATCGAGCTGAATGTCATTGTCGGAATTGGCGTCTCCTGCAAGGTTTCCTCCCACATTTTTGGGGCAGCCGCCTTCATAAGACCTGATGACCTTCCATATGCTTTCTTTGGATGGCGCGAGGTCTTCAGTGAGGCTCAACTGGCATGATCCGCCCCCGTGAGTTGCACTTCCCATGAACCTCATTGTGTTTGAAACACCAACCTCGTAAATATTCTCTTTCGCAGGGGCCGCAAATGCATCATCTCGTAATTTGCAGGGAAAATCACTCCCGTTTGAAGCAAGAGGAGAGTTGTTGAGGGTTGTATTGCTATAGGGCTCAGGCGACATCATGATCAGATGTCCGCTGACTACCCGTAAGACGAGCGTCTCTAGCAGAAGATAGGGTTTCATGCGCATTGTACGGGTGCCTAGTCGAGATGCTCTTCGTTTCAATTGAACAAATTCGAATATCACCTGATAGGGCAATATCTTAGGAAGATATATAAGGGCTAAGCAGTAGCGAAGAGTTATTTTTATAATGGAAATGCCGCAGGACACCGCACTACAGTACTTATATCGAAATAATCGTGAGTGAAAGTTGATGCAATTCAAATATTGTTGCTCAAAGCTCCTAACTTCATTCGCTGCGACTTGAAACCGCTAACGACTGTTAGTTCGAGATTTAAATCGGTTGAAAGACCCAAATATTGGACTTATGACTTAATGATCCTGTTGATTGATCGTTGATGAGGGAGCCTGTCACAATAAATGAAGGCTTCTGTTGATTCAAAACACCGATCACTCACGCAACACAGAGGCACATTCTGAGTCATGAGATATGCAACTCTATAAAGAATGCTGTAGTCAAATTGATTACGGAGATTTCAAGAGATATTACCTCCGATCTACAGTAGAGAACCTTAATGTCTCTCGAATCTCGTTGAACGATGTCTCTCGATAGAATTCTGCTGGATTTGCTTATGTTAGTGTTCAAACTTTCTCGCTCATGATAAACGCTGACCATGGTAGACGCAGTCGCCAGACAGCACAAGGAAGAAGAGAAAGATAGCTCAAGTAACAACTGTAGGTATTCTTCTGATTGTTTTGTAAATTTGCAGCCCACCTTTTGCATGAAATAGAAAGCACTGAAAATTAGACCATGACTTCTACTTCGGAAAGCTGACCCCTTTCGAAAGACTGGATGGCATGCCAATTCTTTCGTCGATCGAAAAAAGCCCTCTAGAAGCATGAACCATGTCTCTAAGAACCTTCCCCGTATGCCGTTGAGAGGTACTGGAATGTCTCAGGCAATTTAAAATTCAGCCTTGACTCTAAAGCTAATATGAAATTGTCGATTGTTTGGAAAAAGGCAAGTATTATAGAAGCTTTTTGTGTCGCGAGCTTTCGACGCCGAATGACTCTGCTTTGCACATCCTGGATGAGAACTTCTGAAAATGAACAGAAGAAGCAGGAGACATTTTTCTCAATCGAGTCAGAAGTCAGGTGGAAGGACCGGAAATATTCGCGATTCAGGGATCATTTGAGACCCAATAATACTGTATGCGACGGTGATTTGATCTGACTGTAATTCGCTATTATCTACGGTTCTTCCCGCGTTGCAGGTGTATAACTTGATGTGCAAAGTATAGGTAGCGCTCGCAGATGTAGGATACTACCAGCGATCTAACGTTGTGGGATTTCTAGGCTCTTGATACATGCCTAAAGAAGTAGCTAAAATCGAAGCTTTGACTTTTGTAAGTGAATTTCCTGTAAGTTACATAAGATAATGTAACATACTCGTAATGTAATTCACAGATACGGCTAGTAAAGCGGTCTGTAGAGCGGCTTTGAGGGCGGTTCTCTGAGCGGCCACGTCAAAAGCGGTCCCAGGAGCGGCCATCAAGGCGGTCTTGTGAGCGGTACTGGCTCTTCCAAAAAGAAGAGCGGTTTCGAAAGCGGCATAGAAAGCGGCGAAGACCAAATTCTCCCCCAGTGGCCGTCTATTCAAAAAGTCGGTGCTAGTTGGGGAAGACCAATGTTGAGTGGTCTGGGAAGTCTTGTAACAAATGAATGATGGGGACCGAAATTTTTGACTGAAATGCATTTCTCGCCATAGTACTGTACCGACTTCCTGAATGTCTATCTACTATCCGATGTTGCAATAAACATCATGGGCTCATCATGTCACATTTCAGAGGTTTAACTTTTCGTAATGTCTTATCAAAGGCCTCGATATGGTCTTCTGCCTGTTGCAGGACAAATCCCTTTGGAAGTCACTTTCTCAAGTCCAACAAGATACGAAGTTGTCTGTAGGTGAGGAAATAGTAATTAATGGTTGTGATTCACTCAGCCTTTCTCTGCCGTTTCCGTCATCCGCCACTTAAGTAATGTAGATTAGTTAATGGCTGCCGCTACATTTGGCTGAATAAGTAACTCATGGACCATGTGTCTTATTCAACGACAAAACAGATGTGCTCTGGCTACAAATAGTCCTAAGGGCGGAGTGAAGCTCTTTACCACCGCGTCCACCAACAGCCGACACGGCTAAATGATACTTGTCATCAATGACTGCCCGCCTGGTGTTATCCACATTGCTCTCTTACTGTCTGTCAATCTGCGCGCCCTTGTTGACTTTTTGGGATTTGCTCCACATGTTGTCATAGGCTCGTTCATGATCCCGTAACCCAGCTCCAGCTTAGTGACAACCATGTGAATGGCCCTCAAAATGATGTTGCCGCTAGCACTTTCCCATCTTATCAGTCAGACTCCGCTTATACAACATAAGCGATAGCATCGATGTTGGTTGAATGTCTAAGGGTCAATTCGGCGATAGCTCGATATGGTCTTCAAACCAAATTATCCCCGACGAGACCGACCCTTCCAAGATCCGGAAATACGTGGACGAGATTGCAGAGTACTATTATAAGAAGGCAGTCAAAATCAATCCGAAAGGCACTGCTCTGGCAATGAGCAGAGGTGTTCAAAATCGTTACCAAACAATTCTCAAGGGTGCTGCGCTAATTGATGATTGATCAAACAACACTACCACCCGCAAGGGCCTGCAGATGGATTCACCATGGGAGAAAAGGCTACTACATAGAAATTCATGGAGGCTGCTGAATACGGGTTGGGAGCTGAGAACCAACGACAGTATCGCGTCTGGAATAGACTTTTCCTTGCGTGAATCGGGTATTGATAAAGTTCTTTACTACCATTCGAAGGAATTTAACAGCTATTGCAGGGGCTATTTAGAATCAGCAGAACTCTCGTTTGTAGATGCAGTCAGAGACTTAATATAACCCTTTTATCGAGCAGCTTGAAACACGTGTTCTCAATTCTGTAACGGAGGCATGGCGCGCCCGTGCGATCTTGACAAACCCCAGGTTTTAAATAGATTTGAAGTTCCCAAGTCTTATTGGAACAATGCCGGAAACAAATGGGCTTTCACTGCGGACAGAGTAAGCTTCACAGAGAAACACTTGCATGCTTTGCCTGCGAATTCATACTCGAAATTCAAAACAACCAATTGGTGTCTGACTTTGGTGAAGACAAGTCTCCACATGTCTTTCTCGTTCCCCAGAACGACATTTCTTTGTCCGTCTGTTCTGTCGTCCCTGTGTGTAAGGGAGACTTTCTCGGAATATTCTGTGATAGCATTCGCTTCTCGGAGGACTCAAGTGCAAAATACGGTATCTGCAGCCCCTTCGATGATCTTTGGCTAGATTACTCTCAGGTCACTGGTACTTTGAACCAAATGATGGTCTCGGAGCCCGACGGACCGGCAAAAGTGCGTCTTCAATGGAAAGTCGTTCATAATGACATCGGGACGAAGTGTTGCTTCTCGTTGAGAGTCCTCTGTGAGAACAACAAAGTCGATAATGCCATTTGACACTCTCATTCGCTCGGCTACCCAGCAAGAGCAATATGCTCTACATTCATCTCCCGAAAATGCAAAGAGAGGCTTTCTCGAGCATTGTAATGATAACTAACAAAAAATCGAGAAGTCCCTGAGGAATGGACAAAATAGGGCACCAGATTTGACAGTAAAGCTTTCCGAATTTTTGTGTAGTGTTGCTGCTAATCACTGTCATTTTGTGCTATATTTGATTCAGATCCGCAGAAGCAAACAGAAACATATCAATTTATTCTAGCTTGACGATTATATTTCAATCATTTTCCCTTTTTCCCGGAATACGTAAACACGTAGGCTTCTTCTTGAATGGTCCTGCATACTAAAAGCGGGAGTGCTTTGGTCAGATTATTCTCCAGTAACCTAGTACGTCCGACATTTGAGCCTTATGAGAGTGCTCTTACCGCTTCACAGGACGAGTTGCACCATTCACCTACTTGAAAGAAATATGGACGAGGTGTCAAGATTCTTCTGGTCTGTGGCTAGCATCTAAAATGGGGCTACGAAATGGCTTTTGAGTGCAATCTTCTCTATTTTGATTCTTGAGCTTCATACAGCTAATTCAAAATCGCCTTCCGTAACTTATGTGACAAATTTCAATTCAGATCCTGTAAATAGGCATCCTGGAAAATTTCCGGAGGTTGTACGAGGTCCCCAGATGCGATCCGGTCCATAGGCACCCATGCCTGATTGAATTACTCAGGCAGCCGGCGAATAGCGATCAACTGGTCGCCTACGTCGAGACGGGCCATATCGTTGCCTTGGTAAAATATTGGGAGACAGCGTAGTAGAAGTCAGAGGACTATATAAGCGTTTTGTCGAATGCTCACGCCCACGCAAGGGGCCGCTTCCTTCGTTACGTCTCTTGAGACGTGTAGAATACCGGACTTGAAGAGAGCCCTGAGACCTTCCTGGAAAGCGTTTTGCAATCTCTTTCCATGATAAGCCTTGCTGTTCCTTCAACTCAATGAGAAGCCTGTCAGCTTCTGAGATAGATCTCGTGGAACGAGAAGCTTGGCGACGGGGCTTTTCATGTGAGTGCGAGTCTTCATTTGCACGACGTGCCTGAGCCCTGTCCGGAACTCCATTGACGCAGATGTGCTCTACTTGTTCCTCGAAGGTGACTGAATAGACAACCTTTGACAAAAGTATCTGTCTCGTCAAGAAACCTCTGACTGGGATGGTCTCAATGTCAGCCAAATTGGAAGAGTATACTTTGTTACTGACGGCCGTAGTTTGGACTGGTTCGTTGACGGAGAGGTGTTGAGATTTGCGCCGGCTACGCCTGAAGCCAATCTGTATAGTGGGCGGAGCTTTCTTCGATTGGCGTGGCGTGCATTGAATGCCGTTCATGTAGACCGCATCATTCGGGTCATCACAGCCATCAGTGGTGTCGCCGTCGTACATTACGGGCTGGCGTCGCACTCGCTTCCTGCTCGTAGAGGTCGGCGAGTCAGACGACACCGAGTCCTCTATTTATCGAGCTTGGGTTCTCGGATTGGTAATAACCACCGATGGACATACCGAGGCTGAGCGGGGTGTTGCAGCTGTCTCGGGTCTGACACAAGGCTGTTGGACTATGTCGCCTCCATAAATGGGCGAGGGCTGATGCACGGCTGATGCTATTCGAGCTGATTCAGACGCTGCCTCTGGGTCCCATTCCGTGCTCTGCTGGTTGCCTCCGTTTTCAAAACTGGCATCAGCCACGGCTTCTTTTGTTCCCTGACCAAAGCCAATGTTGTTTTCCGTAGCCAGGTCCTTGGATTGCCCGCCGACTGCGCTCTCTTCCACTACACCGGCTGGTGGCTCTGTGACGAAGTCCTCGCTTTCCCCATCTGCAGCTAGCAAAGGTGATTCGTGACAGGGCAGCAGACTATCGGGGTTAAATTGCTTGTCAAAACAGCTTCGGTTTTCTCTACTGGCCATTGGGGGCCGTTTGGCATTATGAGTCGACTGTTGTGAAAGCCCTTCGAGTGTAGAGCTGTCTACACTCAATAGAGTGAGCAAACTATGAAGCAATCGGTAATGTGAGATAACTGACCTGAAAGCTGGAAGCCCAATGATTGGTTTTCCTCCAAGAAGACAAGGCAGTCAGGGCCATCGGTGTCGAAGGCTGCAGCTGGGGTTGACGCAGTGGATCCTTGGTCACTGGTCAGATTGACCAAGTCCTCAGGAACGGCTGTTCGAATATTTTGGCTCTGGTCGGACTGCTGAAAATCTGCGAGATATCGACGTTTGAATTTTAGCATTTGGATTCTCTCAATCCGTTAAGCCCAACTTAGCATTGGGGAAGCTGAATAGACCTGGACAAAACCCGCGGGATTCCCACCATGGGACTGACCGTGGCACGGGTATTTTCATGAAAACCAGTCCCATGGGAGTGGGGCGTGGTGGTCAAAAGCACTTAGTCCCGTCCCATGGGCGGGACTAGGGGGGTATGTCCCGCCCGCGATGGGACATGGGTATTCCCACGGGTATTGTAAACAGTGCAAACTTACCCTTTTTAGACATGCATTAATTATCCAATTTCTACTGTATTTTTGGTAGTAATCTATATACGCACGTGACTATATATCCATGACTAGAATTCTATTAGAACCACTAAATTCCACTAGAACCACCCTTTTTCTAAGGTTCCAAGTTCGATTCTAGCTCTATATTACATACCAAAACAGCTTAAATTACCAATCTTTCAGCATTCTTAGTCAGCAGATTATATAGGGACTTTATGTAGATATGGGTAATTTTGCGACTCCCATGGGAAGCCCGTGGGTATACCCAGGACGGGAAATAGGTAAAAAAAAATCCCATGGGAGTGGGGCGTGGTGGTCAAAACCATATTATCCCGGCCCGTATGACTAAGGACCCGCGGGCACGGGACAAGAATTTAGGACCTCCCGCGGGTTTTGTCCAGGTCTAAAGCTGAATAGGTCCTAACACTCTAAAAAAGGCACTAACCGTCAACCTGCTGATCGCGTAAATCCAACGCCAAATCCCCGTTGAGATGCGGATTATCCTTAGGTTCCAGGCGCTCGGCTGACAATACCACTTCGGTTTCGTACGAGTCATCCCCAGATACTGCTTCAGCAGACCTGCGAGAAGGAGTCGGCATCATGGTCTGTGTCGTGAAGTAGACAGAACTGTCAGGTGGAAATGAGCATTCCGGTGACGTAAAGCTGGGCCTCCAGTGCTGGTCTAATGAAGGCCAGGGGCCTGCAACAGGGGAATGATGAGGCCTGGAACGGAATGCATTGTTTGTGTCCAAATTTGGTTTCGAGGCAGATGGATCGTAATGAATTATGTTGTCCAAGTCGATTGGGGGCATGTTGCAATATGTGCCCTTCAGACACTTGGCAAGGAAGACAGACTTTCCTTGGCGTATGTCCTGCTAGGAAGTCATGTGGGACTATTTATCTTCATCTCTAGAGGCATTGACAGTCATCGCAATCAGCCAAGCGAATAGCCGTCTAAAAATTACATCTCAAGGCCAGTGCCCCTTGCCGAGCACTCAATTCGCCACGACCAGACAAATGTGCAAAATGAACAATCTGCATATGCTGCTGCAGTATGAGGCAATTTTGCCATTGGATCACAACGTCGTATCTCCGGGACCAACGAGGCTTTGAGGTCGGAAACATCGTTTCACCCTGCTGCGCCTCGCCAATAGGGGGTCACTACCATGATAAGGCTACCCAATTTAGAGCGGAACTCGTCATCAACGTGACGATCTTGCCTTTCACATCATCTCAGCGAGCGCCACTTTCCAAAACCGGTGAGACAATGAGACATCCGCGTTAGAGGGAGCAAAACAATGATCCACTGGACGGGAGACCTGAGCCAATTAGATAGAAAAGTGCGTATGACCATATCCCGCACAATTTAACCCGAGGATGAGGCTAGCGGATTAGAAGTAGGTGGCCTCGAGAGTCATCGCAGGATCCGAGGTGGGCGACGTGGCATTCTCAGTATGATTTGCTGATGATGGGAGAGTAGAGAGCGCATGAGAGCATACCGCCCGTGGACCACTTTCAAACAATGGGGGCTCGCAGTGCGAGGCTGGGCCAAGCCGTCTGATCTGTGGTATAAGGCCCCGCCGGTGTAAGCGAGAGGGCCAGACTCTTGATCGGCATTGGTGGCGAAGCCGTGCGATCCGGAAATACCGTATTATTTCAGGGCCGTGAGGATCCTGGGAGGGCAGGGCGAAAGGAAACCAGCACGGATGATGGAGGACGACGTGCAGCGACGCACCGGGGTTATATAGTACGGCGAGCGGGCCTTGCAGGCGGTGGAGGCCGGCAGAAACCCGATCAGGGAAGGTGCGGGCGACCAAACCGCATCGGGCCCCACTAAGCCCGAAATGGAAGTCGTGGATCATGGGCCTATTTAGGCTTAGAGGGACGCTATGCCTGAATAGGGGCATGCTATCCCCAAACGGGGATCGAGCGGGCGGGCGCTAAACCGCATAGAGGGGGGCGCCGAATCCGGCGGCGCCGGCACAAATGGTAGATGTCCTCGTTCTAATATCACATTTTCCATACTTTCCACTCTCTACTCGTTATCTAGTATATCGAGATCTATGATTAGAGAGTTAAATTCTACCTTATTAAGGTAGTTGATAATAGACCCTGAATCGTTAAAAACCTCATGTTTCTAGCGCTTAATCTAGTTAGTTAGCTTAAAAAAACTAGTCTTGTCGAAAATATAGTCTCTTACACGAATAACCTTATTACGGGATGGGATCCAAATTCTCTAGATATTTAAAGCCACATATCTAACTAGATAGCCAATTTAGGCTCTTAGACCAACTTTCTATGATTATATAGTTAATAGAATGCGTATATATGCCTTATACCCATAGACTTAGAGATTAGAAAGAGATAGCTTTAGGTCTATATATCTAGGTAGATTAATCCCAGTCTCCATAAGCGCGTCATATAAAGCTTAGTGGGGCGTTACCTAATTTAGTCGTCTCATAGGGGTCTAATTTAGTAAATAGACCATGGAATTCGCTGCTTTAGGCCATAGCGAGCTTAGAAGACCTACTTCAATTAGCATAGAGCGGCATAATTCAGCAATTCGTGCTCTAGCACGCTTAGAATATCCATTCTGCTCTGGCTAACCAGGTGGCGTATAATGGTGTTGAATTCCGAGTCGTATATAGTTAATCTAGGTAAATTATGATAAATTCGTGTCACCATCTATATAGAGCACCTTAACCTGAATTCTAAATTGACGCTTTAGAAAGGCAATCTTGGCTCTTAAGTCGTCTATAATATCCATCTTACTTGATAGATTAGTCGAAATATGGTAACTAGTCACGGGATAAGATGCGTGACTAATATATTGCATCTGATTGTGAGTACGCTATATATGGGTGAGATCCTAGTGGATAGCCTTAAATAGGGACGTTCTGGTCGTCATAGGACGCCTTCATATCTAACGTTTTGCCTTACTGAGCTGACACGTCTCGTAGATATGTGGAAATATCAACGTCTTATCGATCTCGATGCCAGTTATTAAATCCTAGACGTGCTATACCACTTCCTTACTTATATAACCTAGACGCTTATAGACGAGCTCTATAGTTGCCTTAGTTATATAGGGACTAGACGACGTCCCATAGGTAACTAGTCGAATTAGTAAGATATTTAATTATGCATATGTGGTAGTTATATCAGGCTTATGGAGGCTATCAATATGGTAGTTTGACGTGAGAAATGCGTTCTGAAACACGTTCTCTTTATCCCATTTAACCAGTAATATGCTAGTTTAATAATCCACCTTATATAACCAGTTACTAGCTTTGCCTTTAAGGTAGCTAGTCCAGTCATTAAGATATATACCTACTATATATGCACGCGAGGCGGAAATAAGGTTAACGTGGAATGATAGGGAATATACGACGTTATGGAGGTTAAAGCGGCTATTTTCCTTAGTTAGCTAGAACGAGACTGATCTAACACCTAGAACTAGCGTTCTAGTATCTCCGACTTTAATATATATACTCTGTTCCATGAAATTAGAGAATAGCGATCTATCGTTATATATATATATATTTAACCCTATATTAAAGGCCTAATCTAGATAATTCTATGGTGCTATAATGTGGTATAACGTCTAAATTAGGGTCTTTTACGGTTGATTTAACCCAATCTGGTTAAATATAGTTAGTATGCTGACCGCGTTAGTACCTATATTATCCTTTTTGAATTTATCTAAGGCTATCTTAAATGGTAAGCTCTTACTAGCTACTCTCTTAAAGCGTGAATCTATGTCTTTATCCTATATATAATTCACTAGTCTCTTTAACAGATTAAGGTAGGCGTAGTCCTAGAATTGGTGATTTCCGTTATTTAGCACATTCTAATAGGGATAGCGAGGTGTCCGTTTAGTCGATTTGCCTGATTTAGACTATTCTACCTAGTCTAGAATATCCTGGAATGTGGCATGTAACTGGCGGAATAAGGTCGTCTTAGGTTTTTTAATATTAAGATTCTAGCTAAAACTTAGATAAAGTTCGTCAAAATCCACTTAAATATTTTTCTTAATCTTTGATATGACCTCGTTATAGGTTCAGTTATGCTATAATGGGGTAATATTATATATGGCGTCTATGAAGTCTAGAGGTGTATAATCCGTCGTCTATACGATAGTAATTCCCTCTATAACACCTTTATAATATATTATCTATACCTAGATAACCTAATCCTTAATTTTCCCCTAAGATAGGCCCTAGATCGTCTTTCTCTACTGTTTTTCGACTATTCTCTAGTACAAGACATCTCGCTGATTATATAGGAGATATAATGCTCGTAGCATCTCAAATCTAGTTATTTTATTAATCAAAAACTCCTTTATTAACTTATTGATCGTAGATTATAGGGCAATTTCCACTTTATGAATTCTCTCTGACACGTCTTTAACCTCTAGGCGACGTTTAACTTATCTATTATATAATATATCGTCCATGTTGATATCTATGATATCTAGTACCCTAGGTAAAGCTACTTAAGGTATATTCTGTTCTAGGTTAATATAATCCCATATAGTTTACTACTTAGCAAGACGCTTAATTTAGGTATACTAGAGTTACTAGGTAGTAGGACCCGTTAGAATCACATCTATAGATATAGACATAGTAGAAGTAAGGTCAAAATAAGGTCAAAGTGAGAGATATATGAGAGATAATTAAGGCTTAAAGGATAGGACGTGATTTTTAGGGACTTAGAGATTCATATAGAGGATTCTGAGGATTCTGGACGTTCTGGAACGTTCGAGGATATGCAAATTATCAAATTCTGAGCTTAACGAGCTCAATTTTGGCGAATATGGAGATGAGGTAGAAGAATATAATAGATAATATTATGGGGTAGGCCCACAAGATCAGTCCGAACTCCACCTGAGCTCCACTAGGTGGAATATCAGAATTCAACGTTGAATTCTCCACAGAATATGAAATAGAAAATATATGAAGAAGGAAGAATTCTCTACACGAAAATGGGGTATATATAGCAGGATATTACCGGAATTTTCTAGCAAACTTACAGAATTTTCACCCACAAATAACAAACACAAATAACAAACACATAAATTATATGTTTATATAACATAAACACACAAACACACATAAACACGTATAGATACGTGTAGGTAACACGCACGTCACACAAACAACAAACACACAAACACGTATAGATACGTGTAGGTAACACACACGTCACACGTGTGGACAGAGAACATAAATTCTGACTTAGAATTGCGTCAAAAATGGTGAAATATAAAAATATCACAATTCAGAGGTAATTCTATGAGGCTCTAGCTAACTAGCAGGCTCAACAGAATAGAATATAAGATATCTCTAGACCAGAGACTATCTCGGAATAACCCACACGTACAGCTACGTGTGGTCAAAACGACCTAAATCATATCTATCTAAGGTTGGCAGGGCAATTAGTTACCAATCTCAGGAAAAAACGACACGAATAGCGTCAAAATATATGAGGATATTATTATGCTTAGAGAGGGCACACCGGGCTCATAACTATCTGAGATTGGTAGGGCAACTGGTTACCAATCTCAGGGAATTAGATCAGATAAACAAGGCAATGTAGTCAA